CCAACCACTCCTGCCTCTTTTATCTCAGTGATCACAACCACTCCATCAAACAAGTTGTGTTTTACCCATTTTGTAAGTGAGGAAGAAGACCTGGGTGGCATTGCCCAGGGTTATAGCGTGAGGACTGAGCAAGACGGGGCTTTGAACCTGGGCGTTCTGACGCCGAGTCCAGTGTGCTCACCATTAGACCACAGCCACCGGACTACACTGTGAGGTGCCAGAAGCCCACCCTTGGCTCCCTAATGGCCACCCCTCTTGACATTTGCAGTCTTTTGGGGAGTACAACAAATGTTTTGGGTCTTCTAGACACCAACCTAGTCTAATTGCCAGTGGCCAAGGAGAGGCTGTGAGATGCAGACTCTCTGCCCGGGTGCACCTTCTAACAACTTCGGTCCCGAGGTGGGGGTGAGAGAGCTGCAGGTTTGGGATACATTTAGACAGATTTTCTGTGAAAACGTGTGGGTGCGGCCTGGGTTTGAGGAAAATGTGCCACTATTCATGCAGTGTGAGGAGCTAAGGAGACAGGAACCTGGAGAAGTGAGTGCAAGAGGCTCGTGATTCCAGCCTTCACAAAAGCACGATCTTCTGAGCAGGAAGCTGTGTCTACCCTCCTGCTCCCAGGGCTGGCAAGGAAGCGAGGCAGCGGCTTCTGGTACTGAAAAGATTTGCTCTGCGGCAGGACTTTACAAATGGGAAAGGGTTAAGTAAACGATCTGGAGCCAGGCAGACCTGGGTTTTTTTTTTTTTCCTTTCTGCTTTTTCTCCCCAATCCCCCCAGTATATAGTTATGTATTTTAGTTGTGGGTGTGACCTGGGTTTGAATCTCAGCGTTTGCACTTTCTAGCAATGAGGCCTCGGGCAGGGTAATTAATCTTTTCAAGCCTCCTTGTCTTCGTCTGCAAAATGACAAGAAACCAGATTCTCCCCTGGACCCTCCGGAAGGAGGGCAGTTCTGCTGACACCTTGCTGTTAGCCCCGTGAAACTCATTTCACACTGCTGGCCTCCAGAAGTGTAAGAGAATACGGTCATGTGGTTTGAAGCCACTAAGAATGTGGTAACTTGTTACAGCAGCCATAGGAAACGAATGCAGATTTTGGTAAAAATACCCATCTCTCAGTTGACAGGATGAACAGTAAGTGCCCAGCATGCACCGAGAACATTGCAAGTGCTCCTTAAATGACAGCTTTCCTCATCATTTCATTATTTTGGAAGAGAGGAGTGACTTTCTAAGTTGTTAAGTGCCACTGATGCCAGAGGCCTGAAGGAGAAGAGAGAATGTAGTGAGGCAGGAGAACAACCTAGTGGTCAGCGACTTCAGAGCTCCTTGCCCATCCACACATTCCTGCCCCTCCTAAATCCAGCCCCTGCCTCCCCAGGGCGGCCTCCCTGGCCTTTCTTACCACTGGCCTGTCTAGATTTCTCCAGTCCATGCATCTTGTTGCTCAAACCAAGCTCGTGTCTGCCTCCTTCCTTCTCTCTCCCACTCTTATCTCACTTCCCCACCCTCATGCTCACTCTTGCAGTTTTCCCACTGAAAATTCATTGGTCTCTTCCCCTCTTTGTAAATCTCTGTGTGGTGGAGTCATCTTTGGGAAAATATGCATGTTATGGGGCACAATTGGGTCATCGCTGGGGCCAAATTCCTTGTTCAGGGTCCCTTCAGCTCCTTTCTGCCCCCAGAAAGCCCCTCTTTGGTGCACAACCCTACTCTCCCCCTTTATTCTACTGGGCATGGTCATTTTTGCTTTGAATCCGTGTTGCTGTAATCACACTTTAAATTCCTTGAAAGAACGAATGGTCTTCTTTCTGTTCTTTAAGCCCAACTAATCACCACCAATAGGCCACCACCTGGCAAATGGGTTCGTAGTCAGTACCGGTTGGTGAATTTGGCCTCTCCAGATTTTTGCCCTTTGCTCTCTATACTTATGTTGTCTGAACTTCTACCTGTCACAGTGTATTTATTTGTGTTTCTAGTTCAGATGGTAACCCGACCGGTCAGGAGCAATGTCAGTGCATACCAGTAATGAACCTGACAAGGTGACTGATCTGGCTGCGTGAGGAAGGTTCCCCCTGGGTGGGGTCGGTGCATTAACTCCTTCAGGGCACCCGGGCTCCACTCAGTCTAGTGTGTGACACTCACTGGAAGGAATGAGTGACCTCTCTAAGCATGAAATGATATTTCCAAGCATAAAGAAATGAACGGGATTTCTAAGCAGGAACTACACATAGGGATCTGGTACCAATAGCCCAAATTCTTCTATTCATTCAGCAAACATTGATGGAGTACCCCTTATATGCCAATTCTGGGCCAAAAACACTCATAAATTTTAATTCCTTCAATTCCCATAGCTACCCAGGTGAACAAGTAAGGGAAATATTTAAAGATGTTTAAGATTACCTGGAGGTTGTTAGTGCTCACATTAGAATGTATCAATGAAGTTAAAATTAAGCAAGGTCTAGATCAAATTAGAAGGCTTGCTTCCCACTGATCCCCTGCACAAACCAGGACTTCAGCCAAACTGATTCATTTGCTCTCCCCTGGGGACCTTGCTCGTCTAGCTCTCTACGCCTCGACTTTCCCTTTCCCTCGAATGTCCCCCGCCCCACCTTCCTCCCACACCCACTCTGCTCTAGTCGACTTAGCAAAACCACACAGATTCTGCAAGGCTTACATCTTCCCTCCTCGGAACTCCCACAGAGCCTAGGGTCTTCCTAGATGAATTAGAATGATTTAGGAACATAGCTTCGCTACTAGAGAATGAAATCCTAGAATACAACAATCTCCCTTACATATCTTTGTATATCTCACAGCACAAGTTGTATTATTTAATACATTTTTATTTATAGCATGAATGCACGAAGTGATTAATTAATAAGGCAGTAAGAGATGCGGATGGCTTTTCTCCAGGTATTTCACGTACAAAAGCCAAAGTAATTGGGGCTGGCCCAGTGGCCGAGTGGTTAAGTTCGCGCGCTCTGCTGCAGGCGGCCCAGTGTTTCGTTAGTTCGAATCCTGGGCGTGGACATGGCACTGCTCATCAGACCACGCTGAGGCAGCGTCCCACATGCCACAACTAGAAGAACCCACAACGAAGAATACACAACTATGTACCAGGGGGCTTTGGGGAGAAAAAGGAAAAAATAAAATCTTTAAAAAAAAAAAAAAAAAGCCAAAGTAATTGACCAAACACTTACCCTCATATTCCTTCCAGAGAATCCTCAAAGAGGGAGACGCTTATTTTTGGTGGCATACAAAGCACTAAACCTTGTAAATAATTCTGGCAGCCAGTGCAGGCTGGGAGAATGAGCTTGGTCTCTGGAGTCACATAGACCAAGGTCTCCAGCCTCCCGCTCACTGGTTGTATGACCCCAGAGAACTTAATTTACCTAAATTTAAGCTTCAGTTGCCTCATCTGCAAAATGAGCCTTCTCACCCTTTCTCTTTCTCTTCCTAATCGGGTAATGAGAATCAGATGTGTGCATGTAAAGTATCTAGTGGAGTGGCACATAGAAGAGAGTAAACATCAGTCCCTCTTTTCTCCCCAACTTGTGTGTCTGGGTACTTTTTTATTTGCCAACTGTTTTTGAAGATAAAATCTTCTGGAAATAATGCTTTTTAACAGCTGCCTAACAGTTCATGTGGGAACTGTCTGCCAACTCTGGCCATGGGATTACCCTTTGGGTTTCAGTTTTCCAGGACCAAACGTGTGAAGAGCTAGACCTCGTGTGCTTTGGGGCTGCCCGAAGTGATCGCCACCTCAAGTGTGCCTGTGGTGACTGGCGGGGCCTCAGTCCATCAATCAGAAGTACAGTAGTCCCCCATATGGCAGTTTTGCTTTCCTTGGTTTCAGTTACTCCTGTTCAACCATGGTCCAAAAATACTAAATGGAAAAATCCAGAAATAAATAATTCACAAGTTTTATTTATTTAGTTTTTAAAGATTGGCATCTGAGCTAACATCTGTTGCCAATCTTCTTTTTTCTTCTTCTTCTCCCCAACACCCCACAGTACATAGTTGTATATTCTAGTTGTGAGTGCCTCTGGCTGTGCCATGTAGGATGCCGCCTCAGCGTGGCCTGATGAGTGGTGCCTTGTCCGCGCCTGGGATCCGAACCAGTGAAACCCCAGGCCGCCGAAGCTGAGTGTGTGAACTTAACCACTCGGCCACAGGGCCGGCCCCAATTCATAAGTTTTAAACACACACTGTTCTGAGTAGCGTGATGAAATCTCGTGCCATCTTGCTCCATCCTGCCCAGAATGTGACTTGTCCCTTTAACCAGGGTATCCAAACTGTATAGGGACCCGGCTGTTAGCCACGTAGTAGCCTCTCAGTATCAGATCCACTGTCGCGGTTTCGCAGTGCTTGTGTTCAACGAGCCCTTATTTTACTTAATAATGGCCTCTAAGTGCAAGTGTAGTGATGCTGGCAATTCGGATGCCAAAGAGAAGCCGTAAACTGCTTCCTTTAAGTGAAAAAGTGAAAGTTCTCATCTTAATAAGGGAAGAAAAAAATCGCATGCTGAGGTGGCTAAGATCTACAGTAGCTTTTACTACAGTATATTGTTAGAATTGTTTTATTTTATTAGTTATTGTTGTTAATCTCTTATTGTGCCTGATTTATAAATCAAAGTTTATCATAGGTATGTCTGTACAGGAAAAAACATAGTATATATAGTGTTCAGTACTCTCCATGGTTTCAGGCGTCCACTGGGGGTCTTGGAACGTATCTGCTCCAGATAAGGAGGGATGACTGTACGTGGTCTGTATACTCCGCATGCTAACGAACTCCTGAAAATCACTGACTGTGGCCTGGCAGTCTTTACTTTTTTTTGTTCTTTATAAAATTACAGTGATTACTGAGCTTAGTGCCCAAATTGGTTTGGATGCTTTGGAACACAGGAAGGCAACACACAGCGGCGTGATTCGGTCATGTCAGGGGACTTCAGCAGAATTGTCACCTGCTCCTATTAAGTAGTAATGTTCTCCACTGTGTCTGCAGCTGCTGGGGGATCCTGAAGATGGCCAAGGACGACTCCACTGTTCGTTGCTTCCAGGGCCTGCTGATTTTTGGAAATGTGGTTATTGGTGTAAGTATTGAGTATTTTTCAGGACAGTCTGCTTTTCCTGTAATCATGATTTTAGATCAATCAAAAGTGAAAGTTTAGAGGAAAATAATGATATAATTACTGGCCCCCTACATCTTTTCTTTATTTTAAGAAATGTGTTAGTAAAATATGCCAGCTAGAATTGAACTATATAAATAATCATATATAACTACGTAATATGTCAAAAGACCATGGTTAAAAAAAATAGATATTGCCCTCCCAACTTTAAAACAGGAGAATCTAAAAAGAGCCATGTCAACCACAGTCAGCGTCCACGCCATCCCCACCACACACACGCTTCGTGTTTCTTTGCTATTTCACCTTGGTTTGACTTCCGTGGGACTCTGCTGTTAAGGCTGCTGGGGACAGATGTTTGCATCTTCCTGTTCTCCTCATACAGAAGCCAGCACCAGGATGTGAGAGTAGCCCCGAGGCCAAGGTGTATGGGCACAGTGTGGTGAGAGAGCACTTAGCAGTGAGGATCTCTGGCTCTTGACCCAGCTCTGCCTCTGACTCCATGTGACTTTGGACAAGTCACTGCCTTTCAGGGCCAAGATCCCTCATCTATAAAATACAGGGGGTGGGAAAGAGGACCACCAAGGTTCCTTCCAGCTCTAACATCTAGTGGCTCTCTGGCACTGATAAATATGACCACAGCCAGTTGAAATATTACAGTCCAGGAATTTGGGTGACGGGCAGTGGGAGTGGGGTGGAAGATTATCTTCACACTGGAAGATGTTGTTTGAATGGCTCATGCCCCAAGGACTTTATAGATGGTCTGAAATTGTTTGGGTCTTTTCCCAAACAGCAATAAGACAGAGTGACACGTGGAAGGAGGCATGCAACCAATTAGCAGCTGGAAGGAGCTATGTGATTTCCTGGCTATGAAGAGTTTAAGTCAGTTGCTTAGAGCCTATGCAGAGGACAGAGTTAGTCTTTCTTCCTCACCCACTTCTCTACCCCCTTTCCCAAAGCTGCTCTCCTGGCCGCCAGCCTGACAGAACCCTTTCTGCCTCCAGATGTGCGGCATCGCCCTGACCGCAGAGTGCATCTTCTTTGTATCCGACCAACACAGCCTCTACCCGCTGCTTGAAGCCACCAACAATGACGACATCTATGGGGCAGCCTGGATCGGCATGTTTGTCGGCATCTGCCTCTTCTGCCTGTCCGTTCTAGGCATCGTGGGCATCATGAAGTCCAACAGGAAAATTCTTCTGGCGGTAAGACCTTAAAACTCTCTACAGCTGTCTCCTAGACCAATTTTGATGGATTGTTTTTCTTCCCTGAGCATCCTGCTTTGGCTTTCGTGGTGTAGGTGGGAGCAGAGAGTGCCAGCTGAGGAGTGAAGAGGGAAGGCTCTCCCTGCAGGGAAGCTTGTCCGTGTTGGGGCAAGGATGCCCTCCATTATTGTAAGACCAGAAGATTCTAGTACAGAGGAGACACATGGGGCAGGGGGAACCCTGATTTTCCAGATCTTTGCTTCTCCCACTGGTGTCTGCATGTGCCCGAAAGGTCCAGCCAGGACCTACATAGGCCACAGGAGAGGCAGAGTGAGAACTTGATAATTAGATTTTTTTCTCTAGACAATCAGTAGTTTAAATATTATTTGACTATTATTCAGGCATTGATACATTAGGATATAAAATGCAAAATAGGTGTGAATTTTTAAGAGAAAGTGTGAGCCTTTTCAGACATTTTTGAGCCCAAAGCCGATGATTTTGTACGACCTGCACTTCTCATATGATGCATTCACTCTGATCTTCTGGGCCCCTGGGAAACCTAGATGCCCCCACTGCAGAGGACAGCTTCCTCTCCCGCCTGCCTGTGGAGGCTCTAACTCTGCACACCACAGAGGGGCTTCTGCCAAGCCACAGACGGCAAGGTTGCGCCCTGCCTTTGCAGATGGAAGCAAGTTTGCAGCCGGCAGAGCTAAGAACCTTCATATTGGGTCTAGACCTCTACTCTGGCCCCAGCAGTTTCTCACACTGTGATGGGGCCCCACCCCCACTCCCCACCCTGAAATAACTCATCCCCAAATGCCACAGAACCTGAGTTCCACCTTTATGGAACGAGTCCAGCAACCTAAGGTGCTTGTTGATCTACTGTTCCTGTGATCTAACCTTGTCCTGCTACCCAGGGAATGCAGAACATTGACATTCTCTGCTTCCTTAGCGTGAGTTACTCCCACCCCGACTCTTGCAGGGTGGGGAAATGAATGCAGGGAAAGGGAGAGGAGAGGCAGGCGTCCCTAGAGACGAGCTTCACCTGCATCGCAGTCTCACTTTGGGCCACCATGTGTGCCTGCAGCCAGGAGAACTCAGCTGAGAGGGAAGCTTCTTCACCGTGCCCCCAGAAAAGGAGCAGAGCACCCTCTAAGGGGCTGACGGAGAAACACCTGCACCCTGTGCCTCCTTTCTGGAGTGTCTCTAAGGGTCCTGAGCCTCCTTAAGGGGAGCCAGCAAAGCTCTTGACAAAGAACAAGGCAGCAACTAAGACAGGGGGAAATGTTATGAGGCCTCTGAAGATGCTCCTGCTGGTAAGGCGCCAAAGACTTTTTGTGGGCGGAGTGGTTAGGGCCACAGAGGGTCCTGCTCAGACAGCCTCCCCGCCCTGGGCGAGAACTGTCTCCCCTGCTCTCCCTCACTGACTGCAGAGCCCCTTCCCCAGAAGAATCCAAGGACCAAAAGCATAGGTGCAAGGCCAAGGAGGGCAAAGAGGGAGCCCTGGCAAACAGTCCCGTCCCAGATTCAGAGGCCATTGCTTGTTCAGATATTTTCCAGCCATAAACAGGGGCAGTGTGGTGTGGAAGCATCTTGTGCACGCATGGGTGCATGCGCATGTCCACGTGCGTGCACACACACACACACTACCACCACCAATAAAAACAACACACAGTGAGCTCTGTTTCACTCCCCTGACCTGATGTAACTGGACAGGTGGGGGATGAGAGAAGAATGCCAGTGAAGAGCTGTGCACCTGGAGGCTGTCTGTTCCTCCCTGATGAGACTGGACACCATCGGGGGGACAATGGGTATTAAGCACGATCCAGTTCATTGTTTTCTGACCTGTATAATTCTAAATTTTCAGTAAACCATAAAGAAAATTCCTCCTAAGGAAACGGGATTTATACGAGGCTCTACATAGTATCTGATGCACTAAGACCCTTGCCAGCCATTGAACAAACACACACACACACACACAAACACACACACACACACATATCAGTTCGTCTTTTTGGATTTGTTTTTCCCAGTTAAAATGGAAATGCAGAATACTGGACTGAGAAAGCTCTGTATTCAATGGTCGTTTGTTCTCTGGAAAAAGGAGAGAATTGAGCTGGTTACACCTAGCACCAAGTCTTGCTCCAAACAGCTGATATATCAGGCTTTGTTGAATAACTACGTGAATGATTGAGTGGTTATATTTAGACTAATGTGCTGAAAAATAAATTAAAAAATCTCTCTTTGGAAGCAAATGCCATTCTCTTATTTCTCTTGTTTCCCTTCCAGTATTTCATTCTGATGTTTATCGTATATGGCTTTGAAGTGGCATCTTGTATCACGGCAGCAACACAACGAGACTTTGTGAGTATGGGCTCAAAAAGCACAGAGCAAAAATGAGCATCTGAATCATCACTATCATCATCATAGCAGCTGACATGTATTGAGACCTTACTCCATGCCAGGCACCCTAATGCGCACATTAATAATAAATACATAATTTTACTTCATCTTTATAGTAACCCTATGAAATAGGTATTATCACTATGGTCATTTTAGAGATTAAAAAAATGAATCTTTAAAAGGTAAAGTACTTTGTCCAAAGTTACACAGCTGGTGAGCGAAAGAGAAGAATCCTGAGTCCAGGCGGCGAGACTCCCAGCCGCAAGCTTCTAACTGCACGCTCCTCACCACTCTGCCAGGGCCACTGGCCCTCCAACAGCATGATCAATAGTCCAGCACATCGAAGACTCCTCCCAGTGCAGCATCCTGCTTTCTCTCCTTTCCTCCACTCCCTAGCCTAAGGCACCCTGCAAGGCCTGTCCACCCTGGTCTCGGTGGGGTGAGACCATTTCTTTGGAGATGGGGGACTTCAGCCAACCAGAGCGGCCTCACACCCACCCTACCCCTACTCGGTGCCTCTGAGCAGTTTTACCCCAGGAGACAATGTTCAGTGCCCCCAGCAACAGGCCGAGCAAATCACTTTCCTCCTTGGGGACTGACTGGTGAGCTAACTCTCCCTCTTTGCTGATCCTCCCACCACAGTTCACACCCAACCTCTTCCTGAAGCAGATGCTGGAGAGGTACCAAAACAGCAGCCCTCCAAACAACGACGACCAGTGGAAGAACAATGGCGTCACCAGAACCTGGGACAGACTCATGCTGCAGGTAATGCCTGTGGTCTTGGGGAGATGGCACCTTGTACCTAAACCAGTATCCAGAGGTGTATGTATGGTTGGGAGTAAAGTCAAAGGGAGGGGACCACAGCCTCCAAGGGGGTTTCCTTCAAAAAGAGACTTGACATAGGCAAGTTCATCTATTCTTCTTATGGCAAGGGGGTATGGGGTGTACACATGACTCAGTGGGACCCTTAGATCTTCTATATTTTATTTCAAGCCACGATGCTGATTAGCTTCCATTTATAGGGATAATGACATTGTCAAGAAATTTAGATTAGTCACCCACTCTGCCCCCTTGGAACTCAGACATCACTTACAGTAAAAAAAAAACGCCTCCTCCGCCCCACAGTGAACTCAAGTGGCAGTTTTTGTCTCTTTGACTCAGTTAGCACCTTTTCACACCTCCTATGGGCTAGTCCTGCTAAGGACCACGGGCTATGGCTTGATTTGGTCACCTGGTTTTCTCTGACTGGCAGTCATACCTTATATTCAAGTTTACCTCAAATACCATCAAAAGTCCACGTCTTTCAGAATATCCACTATCACCCCTACATTGCCATATGTATATACATTCTTTTCCCCTACATAAGCCCTGATCTGACCCAACTCTCACACTACCCCCTACACCCCTCCCCTCCCAAACACCACCGCTTCAGTCTGTCATCAGCAAATTCAGTTATAGTCTCCACCCCTTTTTGAACTCTCTCTTTACCCTCTATCTTCTATAATTTCCTTCCCTTCTTCTTTTTTTTTTTTTTTTTTGAGGAAGATTAGCCCTGAACTAACATCTGCTGCCAATCCTCCTCTTTTTGCTGAGGAAGACTGGCCCTGAGCTAACATCTGTGCCCATCTTCCTCCACTTTATATGTGGGAGGCCTGCCACAGCATGGCCTGACAAGCAGTGCGTAGGTCCACACCCAGGATCCCAACCGGTAAACCCCGGGCCACCAAAGTGGAATATGAGAACTTAACTGCCGCACCACCAGGCCAGCCCCTTCTTTCTCTTATTCTAATATTTCCATTCCAATATATATTTTTTTTTTTACTCCATTTGGACCTCCAATTCATTGGCCCCTTTTTCACCTTCTATGACTTCTCTGACTAGGTCAAGTATGTTTTCCACTCTGTTAGCAAGATCTAAGCTCTTCAAATGAAACACGAGTGCTCACACCTTTGTTTGCTTATTGAAGTATAGTTGACATACAATATTGTGTTAGTTTCAATTGTACGACATAGTGATTTGATGTTTATTTACATTACCAAATGATCACCTGATAAGACTAATGACCATCTGTCATCAAAGTTGTTACAATATTGTTGACTGTATTCCCCATGCTGTGTATTATATCCCCTTGACCTATTTATTTGATGACTGGAAGCTTGTACCCCTTAATTCCCTTCGCCTATGTCAGCCTTCCCTCTAACCCCCTCCCCTCTGGGAACCCCCACTTTGAACGTTCACACATTTGAAATATCCACTTACCAATTTTCTAAACCCCAGTCTGAAATAAGCCTGGCTCAAACTTAACCATTTTCCCCCAAAACGCTCAGGTCAAAGTACAGGATGATTATTTCCTTTGGTGAGATATTTTCATAAGCCAGTGGCAAAATAGGACATGCTTTTAAGACAGTTGACTTATCATCAAATTTGCTTGGATATATTTCTTCTAAAAGTTGAGAGATGCCCATAGTTTTAATTTCTTCCCTTGAAACATTTTAGCAAAATTTATAAAAAGGAAGGAAAGTGATATGAATTGTTTTTTATCCTCTATCCTCAATTCTGTCCAGGCTGTAAGGATATTAGTTTTGTGTTCATTAATTTTCCTTTCCTATGTGGAGGCATAGCTTTGTGCCACCAGGTTTTGGTTATTTTTTTTCCAGTTTATTTTCTCCCATTATAAAAGTAGAAAGTTAAAAATATAGAAAAGTTGGGGCTGGGCCAGTGGCGCAGCAGTTAGGTTCACACGTTCCATCTCGGCAGCCCAGAGTTCGCCAGTTCGGATCCCGGGTGCAGACATGGCACCGCTTGGCAAGCCATGCTATGGCAGGTGTCCCACATATAAAGTAGAGGAAGATGGGCACGGATGTTAGCTCAGGGCCAGGATTCCTCAACAAAAATAGGAGGGTTGGCAGCAGATGTTAGCTCAGGGCTAATCTTCCTCAAAAAAAAAAAATATATATATATATATATATAGAAAAGTAGAACAAGAAGAATCACTCATAATTTCTTCACCACTAAAAATTTTAATTTTCTGGTTCTCAACTTGCTCATATGTAATATTAGAATAATTATACCTCTCTCACATTTTTGTATCAAGATAGTAGTATTTATTAAGTATTAGTATTTATTAATGGGCCCGACAATGTACTAGACACGCTAAGTGTATTAACAATTTAATCCTCACAACAACTCTATGAGGTAGGTACTATATTTATCCTAGTTTTACTGTTAAGAAAAATGAGGCTTAGAGAATTTAACTTGTCAAAGGCTACAGAGCTCATTAATGGCTAGTAAAGTAATAAATGTAAAAGTATTTTGCAAACTCCGAGACATGTTATCAATATCTTCAGTTCTCATTTGGGGATTTTTAGTAAACACAAGATGTGGTACACTTTCCATATCTTCTTTCTCCATAAAACCTCAGTTGCTACATTGATGGCTCTAGTTCCGACTGTGGAAGAGAACTTTGTGTCTCTCCTCTGCTGACAGGACAATTGCTGTGGTGTAAACGGTCCATCAGACTGGCAGAAATACACGTCTGCCTTCCGGACTGAGAACAGTGATGCCGACTATCCCTGGCCTCGTCAGTGCTGTGTTATGAACAATCTCAAAGAACCTCTCAACCTGGAGGCCTGCAAACTCGGAGTGCCCGGTTATTATCACAATCAGGTGAGTACTCTCTCCTCCCAAGACCTGCCAGAAAGTTCCTCTACTCTTCATGAGGAAAATACTGGTTAACTGTAGGTCATAGTCTCTCGGTAAGAAATTCTGCATCTTTTTTCCTAAAATTCATGGTAACTATTTCCTTCTCTGTTAGTAAAATGTGAACGCTAACCTAGGGCTGATCGGGGAAACTTTACATTTTAATAAAATCAACAGAACATGAGAACGCAACAGCAAAATCCAACTTTGTTTAAATGAAAACTATTTGTACAAGGTGGAGAATTAGTATTTCAAAAACTATTTACATTAAACAAAGATTTGCTCTTTTTTGCAAACTGTACATTGGAAGGGATGATATACAAAGAGAACATTTTGCCAGTTCCAAAGCAATGGGAATTGCTGAGGGTAAATGCAGTAATTATATATCCACATTCCTTAGGCAGTGGTAATATAGGATGGTCTTAATAAAATATTAGATTGGTGATTTGGGTAGAAGGGAGTTTACATACAGATGGCTTTTGAAAAAGTGTTTCCAGCCTAATGAGGATGATGTGATGATCATGAAAACTAACATTCAGTGAATATTTACTAAAAGCCAGATACTGTTCCAAGATCCATACATATATCAACTCATTTAACGCTCAAAGGCAGGTGCCAGTATGATCCCTATTTCATGGATGAGGAATTGAAATATAGAGATGCTAATAAGTACCTTGCCCAAGGTCAATCAGCTAGTAAGTGGTTGAGTCAGGATTCAAATGCTAACAATCTGGCTCCAGATCCCAGACTCTAAGCCAAGAAAGAATTCGGTAATAGTTCCGAAAAGCCCTGCAGAAAATCCTCCTATACTTGTGGTCAGCCTCCGAAATGGTGTACACTGCTTCGTGAGTTTGTGTGCCAGTTCACTCAATAATTGAGAAATGTCAGACGCTTTAGTCTTGGAGTAAGTAATACAAACTGCACTTCAGAATGAAGGACACTGGACTGCTGACCATCCCGCCACACCTGGCATGGTGCCTGGGCTTGGATTGGTTGCATTAATCCAGAAAAGGATGTGAGAGTGACACAGATTATTTTGCAGAGTCTTTCAAAACAACCCTCATTTAGCTCTTCAGCAACATTGTTTTGGCATCATTTTAATCAGTTATATTCAGACTGCTATAAAATTAAATTCATTGCCTATAATCACAATATGCAATATAACGATCACTCTCAGGAGTAATAAAATGCTTTCAATATTTCAACACTGGAACTGGCCCATGCAGACATATCTTGATTGGACTGTAATTGCATACAAACTATGATCTCTTGGAAGGGGACAGAAAAGAATGTCTGCCCTCAGATAATCAGTTTATCTCTCAGCAACACTATTCTCACTGGCACATGTAACATTCCAGTAATGAGGGAGCTCCACATCTGTCTTGACAACCCTTCTAATGCCGTTTCTCACAGTTCTTTGGCCTCACTTTGTCCTTAACATTTCCACTTCCACTGCCCATCAGTGGCACCACAAGTACAACCTCATTATCACTCAACCCCACTCCCCAACCAGATTCCTGAATCCTGAACTCCCTCTCTCTGTCTGACTCTCTGTGCTCCTACTTTCTCAGTCTCACTCATTCTTCACCCTTGAATAATCTCTTATCTATTAATCCTTTCCACATCTCCCTACCCCAGTCCCCCAGATTCTTACACACCACCCTTCTCTCTGAGTCCTGCTAATTCTCCTAGAGCAATCCTTTTCTGCAAAGCAAAATATGCCACCACAGTACCTGATCTACTTTACTTGTACTATTGCAGTTGACACCTTGAACTATATTATAATTATTTACTCACAAGTCTATTTTTTCTATAAGTAAGTCTCCTTGAGGGCCATGCATTATTCAATTCTGTATCTTCAACACCTAGCATAATGCCTGGTACAAAGCAGGCATCAATTAATGTTTGGTAGGTGGGCAAATGGCTCTCTTTTTCACATCCATATTGTAGGTTTTCAAGATCTACATTCTACAAATGGAGGCTAATCAAATTAGAGAAGCCATCATAAGTGTGGAAATAATAGAAATCAACCAGAACCTCACATAGCATGTGAGATGCAAATATGGGCATTCTTACATCTCGGGCCATCTGCCCCAGAAATACTGTGTGCAAATTCTGATCTCTCCACCTCAAGAACATTATGATGGAATGAAGGAAGATCAAGTTCAGCACCACTTCACTTATGAAAAAGCACTAAATGAGAAAAGGTGAAAAAACTGGGCTTTGTCTGAGAGCTCTGCGAGGGCAAGAACCATTTCTACGTTGTCGTAGCTGCATGCCCAGCCCAGTCCTGGCACCTGGCATAGGTGGGCTCATGTACATATTATTAGACAAACGACTACCTCCCAGGATGGTCAGGAGGCTCAAGTGAGTAATGGATGTAGGAGGGTTTGTGAACCATCAAGTGTGTCACAGATGACACTTGTAATCATTACTTCTTATCACATTCCATTCATCCTATCAATGTCAGTTAGGTGCCTACTTTGTGCCAGACACGTGTTCTAGGTTCTAGAGATTCAACAATGAGCAAGATAAATCTCCACCCTTGTAAAGCTTGCACCATAGTATGGGAGGCAGACAACAAAGTTACCAAACAGATACATGGTAAATTCCAGGTAGTGATAAATGCCATGAGCAGAAATAAAGCGGAGTAAATACATAAAGAATGATGGGGAAAGGGGGGCTGACCCCGTGGCCGAGTGGTTAAGTTCGCGCGCCCCGCTGCAGGCGGCCCAGTGTTTCGTCGGTTCGAATCCTGGGCGCGGACATGGCACTGCTCGTCAGGCCACGCTGAGGCAGCGTCCCACATGCCACAACTAGAGGAACCCACAACGAAGAATACACAACTGTGTACCGGGGGGCTTTGGGGAAAAAAAGGAAAAAATAAAATCTTAAAAAAAAAAAAAAAAAAGAATGATGGGGAAAGGGTATTTTTCTCTATGGTTGTCAGGAAAGGCTTTGTTGAGATGATTTTTGCACAGAGTTCTGAATTAAGTGAGGAAATGAGACCCTGGAATATTGGGGAAGAGAGTTCTAAAGAAAGGAAGAAGCAAATGCAAAGGCCCTGAAATGGGAGCACTCGTAGCTTTTTGGAGGAACATCATGGAGATCAGTATGGCAAGACCAGAATGAGTGAAGGAGGAGCAGAAGGCAAGGATGGACCCAGATTTTGTAGGGCCTGAAGTTTATAAGATTTGTAGGGTTCCTCCTTAGGAAAAACAACAAAACAATACACATACAGCATTACGCACAGGACCTTGAAATGGTCTTGCAAGTAAGGAGTCCTGAAGCTTAAGCTCATTAGCTTTACAGTGAAACTCTGTTAGTGGAAGCTGGGGTCACAGAGAGAAGCAGGGCCATGTCAGACAGTACCTCACGGGCCATCGTGAGGACTTAAAATTCCATTTTAAGGGTGGTGGGAAGCCATTTTTTGGAGTAGCAATGTGAAGTGATCTGATTTATGTCTTATAAGCATCCCTCTGGCATTGTGTGGAAGCCAGCAGGAGAGGCCAAGAGTGGCCTCAGGCCTCTTGGAGATCAGGTGGGAGGCTAGAGTAGCAATCCTGGAGGGACGCCCTGGTGGACTGAGGTGGCTGCAGGAAGTACTAAACGTTTGGATTTGAGATATATTTTAAAAGTAGACCCAAAAGGTTTTGCTTAAGTATTTAATGTTGGATAAGAGAAAAACAGTTAAGGATAATTCTGAACTTTGCCATTTGAGTATCTAGGTGAATGGTGGTGCCTGTAACTTAGACGGAGAAGAGTAAATGGGAGAGAAGTCAGGGCAGATGTAGCAAAAGCAGAGCGTGTAAGTGGACTGACAAGGGACTGGGGCAGACCAGAAAGGACAGAACCTCAAGTGGCCACCTGTAGCACTGGGTGGGGCCTAAACTTCAACGTCAGCTCTCCAAGGACATTTTCCTCTGGACCTCAGTGGTTCCTGAAAACAGTCTGGGTGTGGCATTTCCTAGGCTTTCTTGTGACCCCAGGGCTCTAGGAGAGGTCACTCAAATGGCAGGTCCAGCCCTGCACATGCGTATCACTCCAGCCCTTTGCACAGTGAGTAGAACAGAGTGCACCCTGTATGAAAACTTACTGGACCACACATGAATGAATGAGTCGATGCATAAAAAATCAATCACTCTTTCGCACATACACTGTGGCTCTTCAAAGTCTCACTAGAATCCAGTAAATATATTGAAATATGATGTCAAATGAGAATTTAGAAAGCATGGCATAGGGGTTCCTTTAATAATTACAAAAAAAAAGCCTCTGGTTTTCATAGACTGGAAGCACTTTTATTTAAAAACAAACAAATCAAAAAGTAACTCCGCCCTCAAACAAATCACCAATAAAATCTTGGGGGAGAAAAAAATTCAAATTTTACTAAGAATACTTTACATTGTCTATGTATTCAATACAAAAAAAACCCATTATGCTAAAATAGCAGCACCTTTGTTAGTTAGACTGAATGATAAAGACACAAGTGAATGTGACATAGAGTAGTTGTTCAACAGGATTATTTCTATCCCCTTAGCAAAGCACTGGTAACACCTGGCTGTCCACAGGGATGTGGAAATAACCTGGTTATGTTAAACTAGACTTTGGACTGGCATTGATTCAAATAGCAATCAGCTTTCCCACCCATCTCTGACATCTTTTGTTCTGGTTCCTCTCCCACCGATGGGGAACCGCCCCCTCCTCCAGGGCTGCTATGAACTCATCTCTGGACCAATGAACCGACACGCCTGGGGGGTTGCCTGGTTTGGATTTGCCATTCTCTGCTGGACTGTGAGTATTTCCTGGCACCTATTTTACTTCCGAGAAGACGATGATAAGGAGAGACCTTGAGTTTGCCCCCTGGTTAGCCCAGCCACACTCAGACCTGAGGACTAGTCAGGAAGCTGCTGGCACTAGAGCAAGGACACTGGATTCCCTTGGGAGATGGGGAGTCAACTTCCCCTACCATGAGAAGGACATGCCCTAACCAGATCCTTCTTCTGGCCGACAGGGATGCACCTGCCTGTACTCCAGCTCTCCAGATCTCATTAATTTGGTCCAATTAGATATCAAAGACTGTCCTCTATCTAGCTGGCTCCTGCCTGACACTAACCTGCCTCGTCCCTTTCAAAGAGCTGCCTCCACCAGTCTCACCTTGTCCTTCTGCCCACCTTATCTGATGCATGTGCAGCAAGAGGGTAGGGTAGTGGTCTCAGCCCTGGCTGAGCATTAACACCTCCTGAGGGAGCTTGGGGGAAAAGAAGCATGCCTGGACCCCAACCTCTGAGATTTTGATTCAGTTGATCTGGGGGCAAGATCCAGACTTTTAAAAACATTTTTTCCAGATGATTCTAATTTCCTATCAGGATTAAGAACCATCGCATTCAGGAAGCAGTCCCCAACTTTTGGTTTCCGAACCCTCTAACATTCCCCAAAATTATTGAGGACTCCAAAAAGCTTTTGTGTATGGGGCTATATCTACTGATATTTATACCCTATGGGAAATTAACAGAGAATTATTTTAAGTACTTATTAATTCATTTAAAATAATAAACCAATCACAAGTTAACATTAACAATATATTTTTGTGGAAAAAGTGACTATTTTCCAAAGCAAAAAGATAGTGAGAAAAGTGGCCTTGCTTTACATTTTAAATCTCTTCAATGTCCAGCTTTAATATGAGACAGCTGGGTTCTCATATTTGCTTCTTCATTTAATCTGCTATAATAGTTGCTTAAGTTGAAGAATTTGAAGAAAATCTATCCTCACACTGATATGTACTTGAAAAACCAGGAATGTTTTGGTAGCTTTATTTAAAGATAATTGTGAATATTCTTTTTTGGTACCAAACAAAACTTGAAAAGTAGTAGTTTCTTAAAGATTAGTTGCAATATGGAATCTGAAACTATGTCAACAAAATATTCAGACTATTACACGTTAAAATACATTACTTTGGTTGGTTTTGCAGTTTGCATAAATCTTTTATCCATTCATGATTCTATAACATCATGCATTGGTTATATAGGGGAAATATTGGTTCACTGTGTTATGCATATCTTCCAAATGTTGGCTGATTTCTTTATGCAGTACCAAGACATCACATTTGATATTACCACATTGGAAAAGACCTCACGCATGGGGATGCTACCACGCGCATCACCACAGATGCACGTTCTCTGATTTTTCTTGACTGCTCAAATTTATCATCAGCAACAAATATTGTCAGTTGTTTTCCTTGAAGTGACAGACTCACTTTGTAAATTTTCAAGAAAATGTCCGCCAAACACCCAATCTGAATAACCAGAGCTTGTCTGTTAGTCATTTTTTCGGGTAAAAATTGCATTTCATGAAAAACTGGCTAGTTCAGGGCACAACTCAATCACACAAGTGCTTTTCCTCAAGACAACCATCACATTTCAGTAGGCAACAAAACCGCCTTATGCACACTTCCTTTCTGTAGTGCAGAGTAGTCAAAACACGTGTACTCAAGGTCAGCATCTAATAAAATTAGGAATTCTTGGGGGCCAGCCCTGTGGCCAAGTGGTTAAAGTTCCATGGCGGATCTGCAAGAGACCCCCGGTATTCCAGCCCCTTGTCTGAGTCAACCATCTCGAGTTCTGTGGCGCATTCTTTAGAAGCAGCTGTTCCAGGCCACAGGCATCTTTGGGAAAAGAGGGAGTCCCCTGGGAGGAGAGGTTCAATAGTAGAAGCAAGAAACTTGTATCCCCAAATGGTACATACTAGAAATAGGACTCCACTGGAAGGTAATTAGTCCTGATGGGAAGAAGAATTTCCCTAGGGTGCTGGTTTAGCACAGAGTTGAGAGGGGCAAGCCCAGCAGACTGGGAGTCTAGGTGCAGCAGACGGGGGCAGGGAGGGAGAACGAGCAAGCTGCTCTGAGTGGCAGGATGGATTCAGTATTACTTCTGCCCTGTGATGTTGCTTACGGCAAGATAACTCGTAAAAATCCAGTGTGACCTAAGCCTCAATGAACGTAACTTCATTTTTCCCCCCAGTATGAGATGTTTCTAAAACAATTCCTTATTTCTTTTTGGTTTGTTTTTCGTATTCTAGTTTTGGGTTCTCCTGGGTACCATGTTCTACTGGAGCAGAATTGAATATTAACCATAAAGTGTCATCACCACACCACCTTCCCCCCATGACTCCGGATTTGGTGCTGGAACCCCACTCTCCTAATATTCCACATTTGTGCTCCACGGGAACACGTGCATTCTTCCTCGAATTACCCAGTCGGTTGGTAGGGAGTTCCTTTAGGCTCTCAGGCTCCTGAAATTCTCACCACTAGTGTCTTCACCCTGGTCTAGGATTCTGCAACATTTTACAGACTGTAGGAAGGGAAGAATTTAGAAAGTCGCTAATAAGTCCTCCCATCTCTGGTTATTTTTAATTTGGGTGCGTAAAGACATTCACAGGAACCCCTGTTCTCACAGCAAGCCGCATCTGTACTTGGACAGCAAATCCGTGTTTCTCACTACTTTCCGTCAGCTGACGGCTGTCCAGGTGAGAAGGAAGGAAAAGGTTGCTGAAATACATCCATCTTCTTCGCCTTTGTCCCACGGTGGCCCCCACCTACAGAGACTCAAGTGATTCTCTAATGCCACCTCGGGATCCTTTTCTTCTCCAGGACAACACCCAATCTCGAGTTAACAATGGTTGAAATTTCCTCTCAGACATTGCCGAGTCAAAAGTGTTTAAGTAACCTCAATCTCTCATTAATTGAAAGTGTGTGGACTTTTTGGGACGAAGCAGGAGCCTGTTATATATTTTCCAGTCTCAACTTGAAAACTCTTTCAAACAGGAGCGAAGCAAGTCAACCACTAGAGGGGTGATTTGTGGTGATTTTTGTTTATTGTCAAAATATTTCTCTTCTGAGCTATGTTTCCATCTGTGGTCCTGAAGAAGGTTCTTCTAACTCAGCATCTGTTTGCCTAGTCTTATAAATAAAGAGGGCTTTTAATTATGTTCACTTTTCGTTTTCACTTATGTCATAATTGGTCATAAATGAGATTAACAAAATGGCTGTTCCGACAGAAGAGTTTACTCGGCTCACCGGTATTAAAGTTGAGATGGAAAATGCAATAGGGCGTGTTTCCTGCTGGGTACCGGGAACCCTGCCCTGCAGTTAAAGGGTTGGAGCTTCTAAGTTTACTTTTACTTTTCCCTCCTGCTGTACTCCGCCCAGAAGGGTGATGGAGCTGCTGCTCCTCAAATCCCCTTCCTCCTGCGATGGAAGCATCTCTGACTCCAACCGCTGAACTGTGTCCCCTATGAAGAAAATGGACCTGTCACTGCAGGGTCCTACTCCCAGCCAACTCAGTCACAGGGAATACCCCAGGCCCACGTCCCTGACCAGGTTCCCGTGAGCTAGGCTGAGCCCCAGGCAGGAAGGGACAGGGAGGAGCAGGGTGGGCAGGGTGGGCGGCATGCCTCTGCTGGGCACCAGGTGGTAAAGCGGGGACAGCAGCCTGATCCAATTCCCAGGATAGCACGTCCTGACACACAGCCAGCCTGCCCCTCCCCTGCCTCGCCTTGTCTCTCCAGGACAGAGCTTCGAGCTTCAGGTGTCACGATCAATGACTTCTGCGCTTGGCTGAGAAGGTTCTCTGGGGTCCACCAGAAGAGCGGAGAGGGAAGGAGCTTACTCTGGGCAGAGCTTTGAATGCCCTCTCTCCCATCTCCCTTGCCACACTCTCTCATGTCCTGGTGGCTTTTTCTTCCACTGCTAACTAGGTGTTCCAGTGCCCTGGTGCACTCCACTGGCTGAGGAAATCCTGCCCCAGACCCACTCCTGCCTTCCCCTCCAGGGCCTCGTGCTCCAAAATTCTCTCTACCTACAAAATTCCCTTCTTTGTGATTTGATCTCAATTAGGTTAAGGGAAAGCCTTTTGCAAACTAATTCACACTAAGGGGTGAGTGACAACTAGTCCTCACTCTTAATCGTCTCTGCAGATTTTTCCCTGATAACTGAAACTGATCTCTAGTTGCAGCAGGGATGGGAGCAGGAAGGAGCTATTGTGGGGCATGGCCCACCTGCTGCTCCTTAAATCTTATCACCTGCCTTCTCTACCAAGAAGTAACTAGAAAGAGAATGGGCCTTCAGTTAGCCCCTGCCCCCTGCCCCCTGCCCAGCTAGTTTCCTACAGGGAGCCTCAGTCTCATCCTTCATAGAAAATGCAAATTCCACTGTAGATGTGGATCAGGCTCTGCTCTTCCCAAAACCAAATAAGGCCCTGAAGCCAGGTATCCACCATGTCCGGGCACCCAGTGGGGGAGGACACACCTTCCACTGAGACAGACCCAGGCCTGAGGAGTCCCCTGCAGAGTGTAGCCGTTGAGGACTCCTGCGCTTCCTGCTGCAAGGAGCTTCAGTTCTGGCTTCCCTCCCTCTCCACCCTCCCTGGAAGCCCAGCCTTCCCCTCTTTCTTCTGGCTTCTGGGACTGGAAGTAGGGCTCACAGTGAGACTAAGCCGCTGCTCAGGGGGAGGCCCAGGCCCAGCCTCACCAAAGCCACCTCCAGCCCCATCAGAGCAGGGAGGGCAAGGAGAGCAGGAGCCTGGCTCTGGGCTGCTGGCAGGTTGCTGGGCTCGAGACACGCCCAGACAAAACCATCTTGTGAAAACTTCCCACTGCTCCAACAGTTGGTCTGCCCGCTTATCGGGTGGGCAAAGAGCACTTATGACTTAACACCAAAAATATGTCAGGCGAACTCTGGGCTAGGTTTCACTGGATTGCAACACCAGATGGGTCATCACGCTCTCTGCTCTCTCCCTTGGCCGTTTCCTCCCCAGATTGCTACTCAGCCTCCTGGGAAGCTGTTTACCCTGAAGGTTGAAAGCCCACTGCTCCTATCGTCAGCCCTGTAGCTTTTTTTCCTACATCGGCTGTAATAAAAAGGAACTTCTATTCTAAGGAGCAGATCAAGTACTTTCTGGCTACCCATAAAGAAAAGGAGGAATAATAGTCATGTGAATTTGAAAACCTAATCTCCTCTCTTCCCCACCCCCACCCCCACCAATCTGATTGACAAGCCAGGCTGTGGTCGAGGAATTGAAAACTTCTGGTTCTCGTTTCTATTGATGGAACAATTTCCTTTCCCCTTCTGTAGGTAGTATTTCCTCTAGTTTCTCTTCCCTGCTTCACCTCACCCAAATCCTTATCGCCTCCTATACGCGAGACTGAATCAAAGAAGAAACCCAGAGGAGGCTAGCTGTAAGCAATTGAGTTTGCTTTCGTGTGTGACATCTTTATCCTAAGGCTCAAGTGGCCACGTGCAATGAGGAGATCCAAAGTCACCTTGGAAAAAGGCAGTTCCCAGACCTTCTCCAACCAACCCTTCCCTCAACCCCCAGCCAGCTCCCAACACACACACACACACACACACACACACGCATGCGCGCACAGATGCACACGTGTGTGCGCGCACACACACCCCTTTGCAGGAGACAAATAGCCACATCCTGGGGTTAAAGACAACTGGTGCCATGAGACCCTACTTTCTAGTGGCCTCCACCCTGAGTTCCTCTTGGAAAAGAAAGGGCAGCCTGTGACCTTCAGAAGCTAGCCTGGCACTCACAACTAGGCCATGGTATTCCAGTAGACACAAACAATCTCATAGAACACCAGCCTCAGAGAAAGTCACTCTGAGACTAAGACAAAATGAGGGAAAGCAAGGCCACTTTAGAATTCTAAGCACACACAGAAACAAGGTCACTGTGCCACCCACAAAATGCCCCACACACCCTTTCTTGACTAAAATGAGCGACTGCTACATGTTTACCAATTACAGCTCTATTCTCCTGCCAGTCCCTCCCTGTGAACAAAATGTATTGATACACACAATCGTAGAATCGTCCCCACTTTTTGACAGTGTCCAATACAGAGCACACCCTGCTTCTTTCGACTCTCCCCAAATGACCCAACTCAAACCCAAACGCCATGGTATCTTCTAATTCCATTTTCCTGAGACACGTCACAGCTCCCCATGGTGTGTTCGTGCTCACTGCAGTGAGTCATAAGCCCAGTTTATTTATCTGCAGATGTGTTCCTGGGGGTCTTTGGTTGAAGGGCATACTATAACTGCCCATCCTTATTTCCTCTCTTTGTATATTTGTGAGTTTATTTGTCCGTCACCATGAAGTGGTTAAGAACATCAGCTTTGGAGTCCAATACCTGGCCCCAAATCCCAGCTATGCATGACTCTGGCAAGTCACTTCACCTCTCAGAAACTGCTTCTGGAAAACACATCCATGCTCACGTGAGACTGAGAGGGCTCAGTAAGATACACAAAGTGTGCATTAGAATGGCTAACAGCCTGTACGAGATACCAACAGGAAGTTATACCATAACTCTGGTCTGAAAAACTGTTTGGCCCATAATCCCAGGGAACATGCCAACTAATGTCATCTTACTTCAATTTATTGCAATAAGCTTGATGACCAAAGATACTGGTCCAAATTTACTGGCACTCAAACAATAGCTGTGAGTAATAGCTTTTTAGCAAAACTCCTACTCGATTGTGGAAGAATGTACTAGGGTCATCAAGATAAGGCATTTTAATGGATACATCTCAAGTTCTGGGTATAATTTCTAGAATCCTAGCTACAAATGAGATCTCTGCCCTTGCTGCCCTCACAGAGAAATCTCAAAATCTCCTGATAATGTAATATTATAGGGGAAAAAAACAAGATATAGGAGTCAAAAGAGACCTGGGTTCAAATCTTCTCTCTTCCTCTTACCAACTTTGGGAAGTGACTAACCCTGAATCTGTTTTCCCTTTGCTGTACATATATACCTATAGGGCTACTGGAAAGTTAAAGTGAAAAACACAGGGAAACATCAATATGGAACAAGCATTCAATTATCGTCATGCTCCACTATTTACCAACCTCTCCTTCAAGGTCCAGTGTTACACACACCCGCAACATACGTACGGAAGGTTCAAATTCATTTGAGGTTTCAACTCAACAGTTGTCATGGAACAATGGAGCCTTGCTCCCTGGGGCAGGGCCTCTCAGCCGCATCTTTGTGAATCCCTTTGAGATCTATCAACGCCTCTCGGCAGGTGTAAGATGGTCTTCAGTGTACTTAAAACCAATGAAGGTGGCACTAGCTTAAATATGTAAGGTACTAAGGGCCAGACCTTTTGAAAAAAGTGTTGGGGTGTGATTGGCAAAAAAGAACTTAGGAAATGTACCGGACCATGCTTTATCTTGTGGGACACGTTAATGGCTCTTGGCAGAGACTATGTATAGGACTTGTGGAAAGCAGAGGTTTCGAGTCTTTCACGTCTACGAAGAGTCCATTCACAGAGCCTTTGGGGCCCCCAGGAAACCTGTCTGACAGGGGCTCGAGTGGAAGTGAGGGAGCTAAGGACAGAAAAGCCAGGGAGGGAGTTTGGAAAAAAGATGAAAAGGACCAAATGAGAACGGAATGTGCTCATTGGTACCTAGAAGATCCCAAACTTCTCTAGGAGGTACGACAGGGATACAGATTCAGGAAAACTCCCTCAAAGAATGAGAGAAGCCCAGGTGAAGGCGTTATAGTGTAAAGGTCTTGAAGTCAGAAGAGCTGAGTTAGCACCCTGACTGTGCCATTTACTAGCTGTGGGACTTCTGGCAAGTCCCCCACCTCTTCGGAACCTCCACTCCTCATCTCCCCTACTTATCTCAAGAGTCCACTGGATCAATAAAGTGTGTGTAAAAACATCACAAACCCTAAGGCACTATAAAAATGAGTGGCAGTGTAAGCGAGAAAAAATCAATACAAACTTGAAAGTAGCACAGTCTTCATGTTAAGTATTTGTGATGCCCAAATAGACTGGACCCGTAGAATCCTTGGCAATATCTATATCTATAATACTCAAAGAGCATGGCCTCTTTGTGGGCATTGATAAGGAAAAACACACAGGGCAGGAACTGGGGGAAGCTCGGTTCCTTTGAGGCCAAACTCCCCTGCCCAGCTGTGGAGGGAGAGCAGGGTTATGGCGGCAATGGGCAAGGAGCAGCCACGTGCCTCCAGCCAGTCATGGCGCTGCAACGCCCAGTGCAGATAAAGTGGCACAGCAGGGAACTAAAGGCCTTCAACATTATCTCCCAGCTTGAGAAGTTTCATAACGGTTTACTTAAATGACTGGCACATTACCTTGGTTGAAAAAATTATCTGAAGAATAGTAATAGGCATAGTATAGCGCTTTCTAACCTTCAAGAAAAATGCGGATGCCTTGTTAATAGCTGAAAACACACAGGGAGTTTCCACATGGTGCTCACTGTATTTTGTTTCCACCTAATGAGAAACTGAGTCCTCATATATAGATCCTCAAATTCCTTCACACACTATTCTCTTCCCTTACCCTCCCCAACCATGACCAGGGACCCACAGCCTCCAAACTGGGGACTCCTGGCATGGGCTGTTGGCAATTACAATAGTTCAGTCTGTATATGATTACAATTAAGAAATTAGGACTGGGGCTGGCTCCGTGGCCGAGTGGTTAAGTTCGTGCGCTCCGCTGCAGGTGGCCCAGTGTTTCGTTGGTTCGAATCCTGGGCGTGGACGTGGCACTGCTCATCAAACCACGCTGAGGCGGTGTCCCACATGCCACAACTAGAAGGACCCACAACGAAGAATATACAACTATGTACCGGTGGGCTTTGGGGAGAAAAAGAAAAAAATAATAAAAGAAAAAAAAGGAAAATTGGGACAGAAGGCTAGAGAAAGATTCTGCAGAAAAGAGGAAGAAGTACAAGCGGGGAAATATATGAAAATCATTTCTTTGCTAAATAAAGAAAAAACATAGCTTTTACTTGTCCCTACTGAGTTTAAGGTAAACTAGGCCAGCCCTAGGTAAACCTGTCATGTTTATAAAATCTATTTTCCTTTGTTTGTTTTTGAGGAAGATTAGCCCTGAGCTAACTGCTGCCAATCCTCCTCTTTTTGCTGAGGAAGACTGGCCTTGAGCTAACATCCATGCCTATCTTCCTCTACTTTATACGTGGGACGCCTACCACAGCATGGCATGCCAAGCAGTGCCATGTCCGCACCTGGGATCCGAACCGGCGAACCTCGGGCCACCAAAGCAGAATGTGCGCACTTAACTGCTGCACCACCAGGCTGGCCCCTCTATTTCCTTTCGAATTCTCCTTCTGCACTTGGGTGGTGACTGCTGTCTTTCTTGGGAATCCCCAAGCCCTTCTATTCCTTCCCTCTTCCTGTTTGGCAAGATTATTTCCTCTTATTGGATGGCACTCATTCACGTTAAAGTTTAACAATTAAAGCGTCACGTAACGATGGATTAAGAGATCCTGGAGCACAGTGGCATAACACTTGCTTAAGAACGTCCACATCTGTGTTATTTATGTGTCCATTCACCTATGCAAACAAAATACTCTTATTTCTGTTCTGACTCAGTATCCATCTCCTATCACCCTCCTCAGTCATCCACGTCCCTGCCCCCCACGCCAGGAAGCTCAGCCGTCCTGGTGGCTTCTCTCCCAAATCACTGCCACTGCCTGACTCAGCGCCATGGCCCGGACCTTCCTTCCAGATCAAAGGTTTCTGAAGCCCTGGGCCCCACTCCTTCCCATCCTATACCCAACCAGGTGCGCCCCGGGCAGCCCTGTGCGCCCATTATTGATCATGAGAAAGGAGCAGGCTCAAGAGGCTGAAGAGAACACAATGTGGCCCAGGAAACGAGATGCAGGGGCACCTGCCACAGGCCTGGAGCTGGCTGTACCAGGAGGATGTACACAGGAAGAACAGGAAAGAGGAACAGAGGGATGAAGGAGAGGGGGAGGGAGATGGCTTCGTCTCATTTGTTTTGTCTTTAAGCTGTTTAGGACTATGGATACTGAAATGAAGACATCTGCAGGCCTCGAGAAACAGTAAAAAAAACAAGACTGAACACCCAAAGCATTTTCGTATTTTACTACGGAGGTAATTTCAGTGTATTATTACATAATATGTAATTTGTAAACTGTTAATTCGTATCCTACACGTACAAAATCATTTTACAAAATTGCTTAAAAAACTAGTAGATAATGTGTTGTCTGCTGGGCTACTCCTGGAAGGCGTACCGGGCACGTGACACCCACTGCAGAGTAGCAGCAGCAGCAGCAGCCAGCACGACGGCGGCTGCCTCTCCATCTGACACTGTCGTCCCGCCACCCCTTCATCCCCAAGTTCACTGCACCTTGATTCTTCACCTTTCTCCCCACTTCTGTGGCCGTCTCCTCATCTGGGACCCACCTCTGTACAGATGACCACGCAGGATAAACGAGTAATAGAAATATATCTTCGTACCTTTCTCACTTGGATGAGAACAATTCTGGTTCTCTGGGACAGTCACCAATCTTACTCTCCGTGGCCTTTTTTATCCCATAATGTATCACTTCAAACTTAAATAAACCTCCCTCAATCAGAGTTCTCAAGTAGCCTTCATCATATCTTTTGAATAGTCCTTTTATACTTAGTCCTTCAAGTATCCATAACATTTAAGGCTCATGATCAAAACAACTAAGAATGCTGTCTTGCTACCATTGTTTTACATTCCTTATCACCAGGAGCTCTGCTAAGAAAATACAAAAAGGAAAAATTCAACTCAACAATTAGCTCCAACAAGTTCTTAATGTGTGCTACTAGGTGAAGTCTCTAGGCCAAAATTATTGCAATCAAATATTCTTCCAAACATCACCAGACAATCCAGGGTCATGGGCCAGACCAGAAATCCACTGTGATGTTGATATATAGAGGATTATAATCCACAGAGAGTAATTTATAAACACAACTGCTCAACCCATCTGTTCTCCAGACTCGTGACACCTGATGTAAGAGCTTCATCCTAGGGATAAGAAGAACATATGTGAATGATGAGACAGGAATTTAACATATATTTCCACTGCTTTTTGCCTTGCCACAAACTTTGGCAAAAGCACCTTTGTAAATTATTGCACCTGTTGGGTTTCCTACTGCAAAAAATGTTTATTTTCTCCATGTAAGGTAACGAACACCAATGACAGCCAGGTCTTCGTGTGTCAGACCCCATTGTAAAACCCTGAGGACCAATGATAGAGTCACTGCCACAGTGAGCCCCCAGACTACAGGACAGAGGAACGTACAAGTAACACTGATACAATGTGATACACGTCATCCACTGCTAACAGGCCCTTGGATAAGCTTCAGGGGATCTATGACCCCTCCAATGTTGTCGGGAAAATTCTGTCTGTAGGCAGGGAGGGTACATAGCTTTCAAGAGTCTCAAACAAAGTTAGCATGTGTGTAGAGAAGGAGTAATGGAGGGGGGACCTAACTTCATGAGGGAGGCTGGGGAAGGGTCATAGAGAAGGTAAATTTGACTGAGGCTTACAAGAGGAAAAATTCACTAAGTGAAGAAGGTGAGGGAAAGGGCACTCGGGAAGAGAGACCGCCCTGTGCAAGACGCACGGACACGCCAAGAGCAGGAGGCATCGGAAGAAGTAACGGTGGCCTGGAGTCCGGGGACGTGGGGAGAGGAGTGGGTGGTGAACTGAACTGGTCTCTAGGAGCTTAGTGGTGAAAAGCAATACGTTTCAGACACAGTAACAACGTGGATGAAGATCAGAAACATAATGTTGAGCTAAATGAAGTCAGAGGAAAATAATACAGTATCACTTCATTTATACACAATGGAAAACACGCAAAACTAAACAATCTTGTATATAGGGATACAAACATATGGGAAAACAAGAAAACCAAGAACAGCAGAAATAATTATAATTATCACAATACTTATCACAAAAATTCAGGAAAGCGTTACCCCTTGGAGTCGGGGGAGGGTTTGAGAGTAGGGAGGGCCACACAGGTAACAGGCATAAAGTGGGCAGGGGACACACCAGTGTTCAGGGCATCAGGGATCTCCAAACTTTTCATACAATTTATAGGGTATTCTTTTATATCTATTTAATAATTTTTTTTTAAGATTTTATTTTTCCTTTTTCTCCCCAAAGCGCCCCAGCACATAGTTGTGCATTTTTAGTTGTGGGTCCTTCTAGTTGTGGCGTGTGGGATGCTGCCTCAACATGGCCTGATGAGCGGTGCCATGTCCGCGCCCAGGATCCAAAAGGGCAAAACTCCGGGCCACCGAAGCACAGTATGTGAACCTAACCACTCGGGAATGGGGCCGGCCCCATAATTATTACTATTATTTTTTTAATTTAAAGAGAAAAATGCACCCCTATGGACAAAGACTAAAAAGACACATGGAAAACAGAAATAGTTGTTTGTTAAAGTGGTAGACTCTAACAAAAGGACTAAAAGTCTTTTAATATTGTTTTAAAACACAGACTCTAACAAAGCCCTGTAATATTGGACTAAAAGTCTTTTGATATTGTTTTAAAATGTAGACTCTAACAAAAGGGCTAAAAGCCCTTTAATACTGTTTTAAATTTTAAGGGAAAAAACAGAACAAAGAGACGTAGATTCTTCAGTCACAGCCCCATAAAGAACTGGCTTCTCTGCCAGGACTTGTGGTGAAAGGGCTCCTGGGGCTGAAGGACAAGCTCGAGCAGCTCATCACACCAGAGCACAGGGAAAGAATCTCCCAAAACCACTGCAGTTACGTCACAGGATTGAGCAGTCAGCTTGAAGAAGATCCCATTTGCCAAAGATGAGACAATCTGAGCCTCAACAAAAACAGTGAGTACATCCTGAAGGATGCTAGCAAACATTAACTCAATATTTTGAAAAATGACAAATCAATGCTGATTCTTTCCCTTTATTCTGCCTTTTCTGTAAGAACCGTACTCTGGGGTACTCAAAGATGAAGAGGGAAAGTCCTTCCTTGTAGAGAAATCTATCTAATAAACACAGAAGGAATGACAGAATACCAGAATTCTGCAATCCCTAATTGAACAATAAATTTAGGCAAAGATTACCCACCAGTGGCTGCTAAAATTATTAGGTGAAAGACCGCTGGGGAATCTCACAATGAGTGGATGGAGCTGACAACACCTGAACCCACAGATCAATCCTGACATCACAAAGCACAGCCAGACCTCCTGTTGTGACACAGGAGGAGGTACACACACCATGGATGAAGTGTTGCCTCAAAACAGTACCGGAATCTGTTCAAGCCTCCAGACCCCCCAGGTTACAAGGAAACACAGAGGTCAGAGGCACATATGAAGTTATACCACCAGGATGTAACTGGCAAAATCCACAACACAGGAAATGCTATCCGACAAATGACCTGGTTTGTTCAACAGATAAATTGAAAGAGAAAAAGAAAAGGAAGGGAGGGGGCACCTACAGATTAAAAGAGATTTCAGAGAGATGGTCCAAATGCAATGTGTGGACCTTGTCTAGATCCTGATCTGAGTAAACCAAGTGTTTAAAAAAAAAAAAAAGCATTTATGAGATAATCAGGGAAACGTGCACACTGACTGGATATTTGATGATATTAAGGAATATTGTTAATTTTATTTTAAGTAATGATAATGGTATTGTGGTTCTTTTTTTAACACTTCTTTTACTTTAAGGATATACATTTAGGATATACATTTACGCATGAAATGCTGTGATTTGCTTCTAAAGAATCCAGCACGGGAGGAGAAAAACATGGGAGAAAGATAAGAGACCATGAACTGATAACTGCCAAAGCTGGGGAGGAGGTACTTGAGGGTTCAATATACCATTCCCTCTCCTTTTATGTCTGCTTGAAAATTACCTTAATAAAAGGTTTTGAACAAAATAAAGTGGTTCATTGGACCAAATTCAGCATCGCCCTTATTGACAGAAGAGACTAAGTAGGCAGCTGGCCAGGCACACGAGTCCAGCACTTACCGCTCTATGTTCACCTCATTGCCTTGGTCTCTGGTATGGAAGATCATCGTGTATTTACCCACTTCAGGCATTGGCCGGATTATTTTCATTCTATGAAGCTGAACCCTATAAAAATAATAGAAGTGTTTAAAAAAATTCTCTCTCACTTATCTACCACTAGACACTTAAAGAGAATCATTTACAAAAATTTACAGACATGCACATACACACACACACACACATAGTCACACCTAGCTTGATTATTTGGGTATTAAAAAGAATAATTTTCCTATAATATTGGGCCTCAGGCAGTAAGTCCACAAAAGAATCATATTTAACATTTACTACTGGGGTACACAGGAGACGTGTCAATTTACAGTTTGTCATTTTTTTTTTTTTTTTAAAGATTTTATTTTTTTCCCTTTTTCTCCCCAAAGCACCCCCACCCAGTACATAGTTGTGTATTCTTCGTTGTGGGTTCCTCTAGTTGTGGCATGTGGGACGCTGCCTCAGCGTGGTCTGACGAGCAGTGCCATGTCCGCGCCCGGGATTCGAACCAACGAAACACTGGGCCGCCTGTAGCGGAGCGCGCGAACTTAACCACTCGGCCACGGGGCCAGCCCCCAGTTTGTCATTTTTTAAAAACAAGTGAGAAAATACATATTTTAAAACATCATGATGAATAGGAGAATCAAGTCTCTCAGGATCCCTAATTTACTTAGCGTTTCCTCCTTTGAACAAAGAGAGTAATGCTCGTTTAAGGTCACAAGCTTTAAAGCCCACGAACCTAGGTTCAAATCTAGACCTTGTTATTTACAAACTTGGTAATTCAGTTCATTATTCCAGGTCTCGGTTTCCCCATGTGTAAAATGGGAATGGTGTTACCGAGCTGTTCTGACAGCTCAAATGAGATCACCCACAAGGAACATGCTTTGCAAACTGAATGTAATATATAAGTGCAAATAAGAGTGCTGAGTAAATAAACATTTAGTAAATAAATCTCAACCAACTTTTATGTTCGTATCATTTGGCTTATCCACGGCATTAGTCAAGAACCACCCTGGAGGTCATGATGTTCTTATCAAAGGAAAGCAGAACTTGGGGCTCCCCTCTACCTTGCAGCTGAGGAGCAGCAGGAAAAAAGACAGTGAGGGTACATGATCAGTGCAAACTTCTACCAACCACCCGACCTGGGCAGAGAAATGGATTTGGGGAAGATGACAGACATTGTTTGCCTTGAGCCTGTGCTACTCTGGCCCTAAGATCTAGCAGACACCCTCTGTCCGCTTCCTAAGCCACGGCCACACAGGCTGCTGATGGGCTGGCTGAGAAGAGCTGCTGCCTGCCACCCTGGCCCTTCCCATGGAGCCTTTGGTCAGGGAACTCCGTTCCCTCCTGCCAGAAACATTCCAGAGACTCTCAGCCAAGACATGGGAACAAGACCAGCAGGGAGCCCTGGCTTCTTTATGCTGAAGCAATGGAAAATTTCTGGCAGCCACACATCTGTTCATCTCAGCTGAGACATTTCCTTTCCCAAAGGCAACAGCAGGAGGAAACGGGTCTCCTAATGGCCAGAAAGAGCTTGTTATTACAAGTCTAAAGATATGGACCCCAGGCTCCTGAAAAATTACTTATTTCTGGGAGACAGGGATACCTATAACTATCTGGCCAGGAAACCCAAGTTCAGGGAAGGGAGCTGAGAGAGGAGGCCAGACATATTCCCTTTGAAGTCTCCAGAGCAGAAAGGAGTCCAGGAGGATCTGAGGGGACGGCCAGCAGCCTGGAGCCAGGCCAGCAGCTGCACCCCAGGGACGGAGCTGACTAACACATAAGGAGGGAAGCACATCTTGGCCTGCTTCAGGGTGTGCGGCTCCTCGAAGGCCACTGGCCCTCCTTGCTCTGGACACTGGGAACTGTGCCAGGATGCCCCGGCTCTGAGAGAAAGCACAGGCTTACGATAGGCCCTCTGGCTGCTTTCCTCCAATTGCGGTTTTGCAGATACCCTGCAGTCTGGGACTTTTCATTCACTGGTGAGACCCTGTCTCAGTACATAATACCCACTGACAAGTCCACAGAGACCTCTATCAACACTTCGGGACCCCAAACACCCACGAGCCAGGAAAAGACCACCCTCCATCATTTCAAAACTGCCAGTGGCAAAGAGCAATTTGGGCCATCCTGCCTTCCCTCCACCCACTGCCACCCTTTAAGCCCAAATCTGCAGCCTTGTGACCTGCTGGACTGGCAACTATAGGAACTAGCCATAAAGGTAGGTTTCCAGAGCCACCACTGACAGCAGAGCCCCGTGAAGGGGACCTGTCTCTGTTGTTCACCTGAGTCTGAGGTCATCGTCTTCGCCTCCCCATCCCCAGTAGTTGTTAGAGAATCCATTCACCTTGAAAAATTGTTCTCTGCTTAGGGCAGTAACACCCCCAAAATATCCGCTGTAACGTAACCTGGAGTAAAAGACAGGAGAGAAAAGGTAAGAACATTAGCACAAAGCCTTTCAGTTCTGCATGGGGACTTCAGAAGTCTCCTGTTTCAGGGCCGGCATTCTAGGAACACTGGGACGACCACACTCCTTCATCCATCCACTCTGCTTGGCATCCACCTCCCGATGGTCCTGGCCTTCCCTCTCTGGCCTTCTCTCTCTGGCCTTCTTTCCTCAGTCTAGACAAGTGCTCGCATCTGCTCACCAAGCAAAGTGCCACTCCCTGTATTGTTTCATGTTCGTGTGGAGAGGTCTACAGGGGTACCTGTAAATGTGCGCCATAACACCAGATCTGGATGACAGATTTCATCTCACATGCCAATCCAATGAATCGTAGTGGCTGCCAAGGGCAGTGGGTTAGGAAGGATTCTGAGGCTGCATCCAGGTTCGGCATGAATGAGTATGTTAATAAATATACTGTTCTTCTACTTTTACTTTTTTTTAGGGGTAGGGTAGAGAGCAGGAGACAGCTCCTGCACACACTCTATATGCAAACCTCCACTTCTGTGCATGCAAATCTCCATTTCAGAGTTTGTTCCCTGAGGAACCAACACACCTCAATAGCCCTGAGCTTTCTGGCTTGGGCAACTACATAGATGATAGTGCCCTTCACAAAAATCAGGTCTACAGAACAATAATTAGGTTTTGAGAGGAAGACATTACATTATGTCTTGGATAAGGTGAATGTGAGATACCCCTGTGGCTTTTGAAGTGAGCAGAAGGATATACAGTCCAAGCTCAAAAGAGAGGAGAGGCCACAGATACAGCTCTGAAAATAGGCTGTCAAGAGGTGGTACCTGAAGGCAAAGTAGAAGGAGAAATTGCCAGAAGACAGTGTAGTAGGTGAGAAGAGTGCAGAAGGATGGAGCCGTGGGGATACCAACAAGAAAAAGGAGGAGAGAAGAGGTCAAGAGGTCAGAGCACACCCCCCATCCTGGAGGGCTCTTGGGGATTACTGGTGGACAAATGAGCAAACCGGAAAAATAAAGACATCCCTTGCATATGACACTGTAACAATTCAGAAATGCACGTGAAGGCAGCTTAACAACTTGGATGTTACTGAACAAAAGGATGTGAGATTTGGAGGATTTCTAACTTTAACGAACTTCAGTTCAAAGTGTTCCAAGACCAATTAAATATTTCTGCTCTCCCAGATAAGAAGAGAAACCAAAAAGAAAGATCAAGAAACATGTAGAGACTTGTCACCTAACAGGTGGCGTCCCCAAAGCCAATGTGTAGTTCAGCTGTGTTTCTATATCCTGAGTACAGCTGGGGACGACCCTCTTACCCATAACGGAAATAGATTTACTCGCATACCTCTCAACCTAAAATTCTGGAAAATGGTATTATTATAACGTAAAACAAAAGGAAATAAAGTGCTCAGGAGGCAGCTATTACTGACCAAGACACCCACTGCAGTGACTTGTTGCCATGGTTATGGGACTGTCTGACTGGGGAGGGATTCCTAAAGACCTGAAGACCTGGCAGTCACCTATTAAGTAACCACCGTCCACCGTGTGCAAGACAACTGCCTAACGCTGTCAGCTGTGGGCCCTGCCCTCAAAGGGCTCCCAGCCTAACAGAAGAGGCGAGTGTTAGCAGGTTCTGAGGAAGGAGATGCCGCCCATGGCAGGGGCAGCGCAGGGGCCTGGGAGGATTCAGTCAGGTAGAAAAATGGAGCAAGTCCTGGTGGCCAGAACCCCATGAGGAAAAGCAACGAAAGGAGAATGTGCAAGGTGTCTGAGGAGCATCTAGAGACAAGTTAGCTGGAGCAAGGAGGCTCAGGAGACCAGTTGAAAAGAAAGGTTAACGAACTCTCAGTTTCTCACTTGCCTCTTGGATGGCAAATGTCTACGTGTTTACTATCTTTGCTTTGGGTTTTTCTCCTCATCTGGAAGAGCATAAATATTTAATTGGCCCTAGAATAGTTTTATTTAGTTTTGAAGGGCTGTAAGGCCAAAAAGTAGGGAAAATTTAGATATAAAATAACAGTAGAGTCCTTGTAGAAAGCAGGCAGGTTCATCACTGACTGTGGGTTGGTGACAAGACCCGTAAGTCAGTGATAAATGATAAGATTTACTTCTGGCTTCATCAGAGTCTGAGACAGTTGGGGTAAATCACTTTAATGTCTTCCCTCTGCAGGTGTGTAAAGTGAAAACATCTCTTGCACTTATTATACTCACGGGGCTGTCATGACAGTGAATAAAGTGGGTGCTGACTGAAGCTCTGTGGCACAGTGACAGTTACTGGCAGGAAGCAGACACGTCACTGCCTGTGCCTGCACCTCCACCAACCAGAGGGATTTGGCCCCAAAAAACAGCAAAGGTCAGAAGTGGGGGGACGAAGACAACTCCTACATGACTTATGCACACCTCTCCCCAGCCACAGGAGACCAGGCTGTTTACATGATACATGAAAGAAAGCAGAAAAATACAAATGACAAACAAGGACCAGAGGAAAATTTAAATTAGAATAGAAGATTAAAATAGGAAATATAGTAAAACTCTGATCAGTACATAAGATTGTTTTCAGCTTCTAAAAGAAGACCATGCATTTGGCTCAGAGTGTCTTGCCTCCAGATCAAAAGAGGAGACACATTCAATCACCTGATTTATTAGGAAAACCTGCCAGCTCCTCAAGGAAGACAAAGGCTTTCTGATATCTAGTCATAAAAGAAATGTCTGGCCAGTTACAGTAGCAAGTTAAAAAACAGCAAGAGTCAGACAGGGGCTATTTCTAGAGTGAAGTAGCATCTGATGAAATCTGTGATTGTTGCACCAAACTTTTACTCAAAATCAATTCCCAACAGGAATGCCCAAGAACTCAGTTTCTCATGGTCCAGCTGAATACAAAGATTATATCTAGAATCCCAACAGAAGGCCTGTGCTTAAGACAATCCTGTGGGTCTACACTCCAAAAATAAACCAAAAAACCCAATCCTGTGTGGCTGTAATTTCTCACCACAGGTGTTTAGAAAGAACTGGGCAATGGGAAGTTATCATCTACGTCAAGGGTCTGAAGTACAGGTAGCTATGCTGCAGACAGTGCTATCTTATTAATTTCACACAGCAAGTGGACAGTTGACATGCTTCTGAAAATACTGAGGTGTCCAGACATGATACACTGCTTTCTTCAATGCAGACGTGGCTCAGAGAGGCCAGAAAGCAAAACCTCCAGATAATGCTCAAGACCAAGTTCCCCAGAGGACCAAACCCTGTGATTCTCTTCCAGACCCCTCCCTGCCCTCTGGCCCCACTGCCCCTGCCCTAACTCAGAGGCCTGGCATCTCTCCCCTCAGCTTCTCCCCTCCTGCCTTGCGCCACCCAACACACTAACGGCCGGCTGACCCGAGCTTTCTCCTGCCATTCTCCAGCTGTGACCACACGTCAAGAGCTCCTAGTCCCCTCCAGAGGACATGAGACTCCTTAGCAGACTGAACAAGGCCTGCATAATCTGGCCCCTGCCCACTCTCATCTCCTGTGTCTCCTCCCTCCACCATCTCAGACATTCCTTCTCGAGCACTAACGAACAAATGAACTCCCCCCAGAACTGTGTCACGCTCTCTCTTGCTTCCATGTCTTAGAATTCTGCCGGGAAGCTCCCAGTGATCCTAAAAGATGAAGGTGCCATGTTCCCTGGGGAACAGCTTTAAACCTTTGCCTAGGTGTTTCTTACAGACACTGTGCTCTCATCCATTGTAGCTTACTCTAGGTATTTGTTTGTACCCCACAGTTTACACAGGGATTGGGTTTAAAGTCAGTACCTGAGGCAAAAATCACCTGCAACGATACTCTTGGAAATCTCTTAAACAGCGCGAAGTAAGAACCTACACAATGAGAGCAAATGCAAACCGAGGCTGAGCGAGGTATCAACAGATTCAGGGCTTCCATCTCATGCTCACTCCCAGAGTAGACACTGGTGGAATCTCTTGCATCATTTTATGGTTGTATAGTTCTCTCCCCCCGCTCCCTCCCTCCCTCCTCCTCTCTCCCGATCATTACCAAATGCTTATAGTTGAATCTGCAGAAGTGCAACATTGACACAGCTCCACCGCACCTGCCTCCCACACCAGCACGCAACTACTCGGTGGATACGCCCCTCCCCACGCTCCCTCAGAACTCCAAAAAGATGCCACAGTCTGGAAAGAGACATCAGTCTCACAAAAGAGGCCTAAAAGTTGACCTAAGGGGCACAGTGGTTGCCTCCTAGAGGGGAAGTCAGGGAGAGACAGGTAAGTGACCTGAGTTCTATGCAGTGTGGAAGCAAAAGTTTACAGAAGTTCCACCATAGGAACCGCCCTGCAGGTGAGGCCAAACATCGTTTGTGGTGCTTGGACTATTTCCCCTCTCCTGTTCTTTCCCTTTGTCTTTGTGATCCTTTGCCAAGGCTGTTGTAGTAATTTTCCTTTTCAGGAAAAAAATCTAATGTCTCTAATTTTTGTTTTGAACTTTAAAGTGATATGTCACGGACCATTTTTCCTATTTCTCATTTATGTAAGAACTCCGGACACTTCGTCCCGCACAGCCTTGATGAGAACAGGGCAAGCTTCCCCACCTACGCGAGCCCCAAGCAAAGCCGCCTTACCTGTACCCAGTGCTGTTCCTGCCAACCACCAGATGCTTGGGCTGATCCTCACACTTGTAAAGGTTCAGGTCATTCTCCGGCACCAGATCCACGTCGTGGAATATAAAGCAGTCCCAATTTTCATCCTTGAGAGCTTCTAGATAGCCCACATTCAAGAGTTTGGCTCGATTAAACTTTTTACTTCCAGCCTATAGATATGGAAATTAAAACTTGAAAAGCTCCTGAGACATGGTTTCTCACTGTACCCCCCTCTCCAGTTCAGATGCAGGAGCTGGAACTATTCTTGTTAATGGTGAGACTGTACTTGTGAAGCTCTGACAGAGTAGATGCAAGAACAATAAAAGACCTCTCGTATTTTACTTCACAATACTTATATTCCATAACTTAAAAACATGCCTTGAAACGGGGAGTTGTTGTTTAATGTATAGAGTTTCAGTTTTGCAAGGTGAAAAACTCCTAGAGATTGGTAGCACAATGACATGAACATACTTAACCCTACTGAACTGTACACTTAAAAATGACTCGACAGTAATTGAAACAAAAAAATAACCCACCAATTGGGAAAAAATATTTGCAAGTCATATATCCGACAAAGGGTTAATCTCCATACTATATAAAGAACTCACACAACTCAACAACAAAAAATCAAACAACCCGATCAAAAAACAGGCAGGGGACATGACGAGACATTTCTCCAAAGAAGATATATGGATGGCCAATAGGCATATGAAAAGATGCTCATCATCATTGATCATCAGGGAAATGCGAATCAAAACTACACTAAGATATCACCTTACACCCATTAGAACAGCAAAAATAACCAAAACAAAAAGTGACAAATGTTGGAGAGGTTGTGGAGAAAAATGAACCCTCACGCGCTGCTGGTGGGAATGCAAACTGGTGCAGCCGCTATGGAAAACAGTATGGAGACTTCTCAAAAAATTAAAAACAGAAACACCATATGACCCAGCCATCTCACTACTGGCTATCTATCCAAAGAACTTGAAATCAGCAATTCCAAAAGTCCCATGCACCCCTATGTTCATTGCAGCATTATTTACAATAGCCAAGATGTGGAAGCAACCTAAGTGCCCATCAATTGATGATTGTATAAAGAAGATACCATGTGTATATATATATATATATATACACACACACAATGGAATACTACTCAGCCATAAAAAAGGATAAAATTGTCCCATTCACAACAACATGGATGGACCTTGAGGGTACTATGTTAAGTGAAATAAGCCAAACAGAGAAGGACAATCTCTGTATGACTCCACTCATATGTGGAAGTTAAACATGTAGATAAAGAGAACAGATTAGTGGCTACCAGGGGAAAGGGAGATGGGGGGTGGGCACAAAGGGTGAAGTGGTGCACCTACAATATGACTGACAAATAATAATGTACAACTGAAATTTCACAAGGTTGTAAACTATCATAATCTTAACAAAAACTAAAAAAAATAGAAAGTAAAAAAAATAAATAAACGACTCAATGGTAAATTTTATGTTATGTGTATTTTACCACAATTTAAAAAAAAAACCTGTAGTTTTAAAATACAAAGAAAAATAACTCAAAAGATTTTTGAAAACATGCATTTATTCCATGAAAACTACAAAACCTTTCCTGCATACTAGTCACGCCAATTAGTATATCACTGCTTCACTGTTCAACTCACAGCTGATCCCAATCTGACCCTATGTAACCAATTTATACTAAGCTTCCAAGAGATACAGCTTGCCAGAAAGGATCAAGAAATCTTGCCCCATAAACACAGAAGTCACTGCTATTATTTCTAAGCTACTTAAAAGTCTCTTGGAGGGGCTGGCCCTGTGGCTGGGTGGGTAAAGTTCCATGGGCCCCGCTTCGGCAGCCCAGGGTTCGCAGGTTCAGATTCCAAGTGTGGACCTACTCTACTCATCAGCCATGCCGTGGAGGCATATATACAAAATACATACAAAAGATAGAGGAAGACTGGCACGGATGTTAGCTCAGGGCTCATCTTCCTCAAGCAAAAAAAGAGGAGGACTGGCAACGGATTTTGGCTCCAGGTGAATCTTCCTCAGCAGAAAAAAAGTGTCTCTTGGAACCACAGTGAGAGAATCCTGTTATAACTCTTATTGGCAGAAGCTAATCCTCAGAGTGGCCTTACCGAGGGGATTTGTCACTGGGTAAGAAAAGAACACAATTTGACCAGTAAAGCTACAGTACAACAAAGATTTTACAGTATTAGTTTTTTCATGGCTGTTTGGATTAAACGCCTTAAGAAAAAATTCCAGTTTGATAAACAGTTTATCATAACAAAAGTACATGCAGTTCTCGAGTTACCACAGTACTCCTGAAAAGAATAACACAAAACAGACATATTTCTATTCATAAAAATATTATACATCAGGGGCTGCTGTCCTAAGAACTCAGAATCACTAACAATGTTAAAAATAATTATAAACCAATAGTAAAATTTTGTTTCAAATCCTTAAAAAGTGGGCATAAACGTACTATATATGCACACTGATTTTCAAGAGCCCCAGTTTATTATAAAATACACACCACAGAACTGCATCCTGTGGTTTCACAAAAGTTTTCCTAAAACAAGTATTATCAGTTATAACCAATATGAAGCATGACTTTTCTTGCATTCTTAGCATGTGTAAGCATTTGAGGGGGAATTATTTGGATGACCCGGGACAATTTTGAAAAGCTAGACATGGATATTTAAATTTACGCGCCTTATTTTTCCTTCAATAAACTTGAACACCAAATAGAGGCATCTTTCATCACCCACTCCACTTAGAGCTAAAGTTTGCAAAAGCAGCCTACACTTACACTTACTGTGTTCCCACTAAATCATGCTCCTGGAAGCCAAATAAGTGAATCCAGAAAATGGAAAGTAAACATAGTATGTTCTACGTAATAATAGCGGCAAAGCTAAAGGGAGAAAGGTGGAGACAGTCAGAACACTCCAGGGCTATAAACACACAGTCGTCTGTCTAGATCCCCACTGAATAGCCATGCTCAATGGCGATAAACAATTCCAACGTCTCATCTCGTAGTGTATGGCAAATGCAGAAGGAAGCAGAAGGGGAATCTCAGGGAATATTCTCCGGGCAGTCATCGGCTAACATTGAGGGGCTCACAAAAAAACAGGCTTCCCCCAGAGGTTCACTGAAGAGGCAGAAAAATCTCCCAGCACTTAGTCCCATTACTCCACACTCTAAGACAAGAATTTCCTTTCAAGGATAAAGAGGGAAGAGACCTCTCCTTTGAGGATAGTTTGATGCTCCTTTTACCCAAGACAGACAAATGGCCAAGTCCCTCAGAGAGAGGAGGACCTGGAGGGCAGAGCCCCACACTCACCTGGTGGATGACGTAGATGCCGTACTCCAGCTGCTGCCGCTGCAAGAAGGGATGCAGGTGTTCCAGCAGGTACATCAGGTGCTTCTCCCTGTTCCGGTGTGGAATGAGGATGGCCACCCGCTGCAGAGCCCGACACTCCTCGGGGTGATAGCGGCCTCTGCGCACGTTGGGGTTTTCTGCCTGCACTTCTTCCAGGGTGAGATCCGGTTTGAAAAAGAGCTTGTTCTGGCCTCCTACAATAAAAACAGGCCACAGGAAATAACAGCAGCTCTCTCATCAAGTGTTGACAGGCTCACAGTACAAGTGAAGCACTTAGAACACCGCCTGGCACACAGTGAGCACGACGCGAGTGTTAGCTTTTATTGTTATTACTTTAAAGCCTCATGTGGTCGTGAACTATAACCACAGGATCATGTGACACAGGTTACCGGCTGCAAAAGCAAGTAAGTGACGTTTCAGAGCATTCCCTTGTGGCTGGGTAACCAACTCCGGCCCCATGATTCATCCATAAGCAGGGGATGCATTCTGTCCCAGTGACCCTGGTAAAGAGCAGAGGTCAGGGCTACATGGAGTAATTACAGATTTGCTCTATCATCTCTTCCTTCTCAAAATTCCAAAGGAGGGTGAAGTCTCTTAAAAGTCAAGAGCATGGAATTAAGTCATGGACAAGGTCCCTTCCCCGCTCCTTCTCAAGCTCTTGGACGCTATCCTAGCTCCCTAAAAGTAAAACAGCAAAAGGCAGCAGGAGCTAGCCCCACTCCGTAACCCGGCAGTGACGGGCATGTGCAACACCGCAAGAATTCTACCACCACGCCATGGAGGCACAGCTCCCCATGGAGCATCTGCTCAGCGAGCGTGGATGCAACATGGCTGGATGAAACCCAAAGGCCATCCACAGTAACCAATCTCATCCAAGGCTTTAAAGGTCAGGCTGAGGCCACCGACCCTCCTCTTTGATCTGAATTAACAGGGAACACTGACTGGTGAGAGAGGAGGCAGAGGGCCTGTTAGGGAATTGAGCCAGGCTTTTTTTAATCTCCATGTACACTGGTCAGGGTGTAAATCTCAAGATGCTTGCAAGTTTCATGACCCCCTTCTGTGCAAAGCAGTCACAGGCCCTTCCTGTGAAGAAGTCACTGCACCTTGCTTGGTGTAACCATCCCCTACCCCGGCCTTGGCTGCTGAGACCAGGCGCCAGGGTCTGTGAAGTGGATGACAGACTCTGCTCAACGGCACCAAGGGCAAACAATTGCTTCAGCCACCTAGACAGAATAACTTGCCCACAAGAAAGGGCCTTTCCTGGAAACAGGCGAGACACAGAGCTGGCAGGCGGTAACACCCGGAAAACAAACAGTAAGAAAAGGAGTTATATGACAGTCAAGCTACTAGGCTGCTGCCAGCCTACAGAGCTGCGAGGACATGATGGCGTGGCTGGCTGAGATGGTTTCCTGTGTCGCCTGCTGACAAACCTCATCACCCAAGTGAGCCTGTCCATGCCTCTGTTCTCGGCCCCTGAAAGGGCCCCACGCAACAGGTCTCATATAAACTGGTCCCTCTGCTCACTTTCTCATTGTCACAACAATTCACGGGCCCTAACCTCCGAGTACCTGCTTCTACTTAGTCCATCCATCTCCATCCCAACCCCATGACTCCTTCTCAAGTTCTGTTCCTCCTTGGGTCACTAATGCCCATCTGGCTTCATCACTACTTACGTCACCCTCTTAATCCAGGTGCTTGCTCGGGATGGTGTCACTGCCCATCTATTTTTATAAATGCATTTGTTGCTTACCTATGTTGTGAGGATTCTGAACGAGGGATAATACAGTCAGATTTGCATTTCAATAACCCATTTTCCTACCGCAACTTGTGTCATTTCTCAGAACAACTTCCCTCACACAATCAGGAATAACGTTCTGGCTTTTCCTCATCTGAGCGAAGAGAAGCAATATGTCGATGTGAACACAGCACAGGAGTGCGATTCAGTTAGGAAGGAGGGCCTGCAGGTTTTTGTGCAGCTACGAGCAAGAAGCCCCCGCAGAGCCCCAGGCCACCCCACAGAGACTGACTGAGTGTATGCCGAGCGCCGCCTCTGCAGGACCAGCGAGGCGCACTCGACTCGGCAGAGCTGGAAAGGGTCGCCCTGCCCTCATCCTGCCTCCACGTGGTCTCCTGGGGGAGAGAGACACACATATAACAATATGCTGTGAACAGCACAGAAACAGAAACACAGGCAGGCAGAGTGGGCATAAGGTTAACTCTGGGCAGTCCCAGCAAGCTTTCTGGGAGAGAAGTAACCTAAGTTGCATTTTTGATAAATAAGCAGGAATCCACCAGGCAGACGCGGATTAAAGAAAGGCATTCTAGAAAGAGGGGACAACAGAAGGCTCAGAGGAGTGTCTGGAGATGTTCTGGGGAATCAGAGGTCTGCTAGAACCTACATGGGTTACAAATAATATCGCTGTGGAGTGTTTCCTCTGTAATTAATGTGTTCACTAAGCCCTATTTACTGTTAATTTAAATTGAAAGCCAAGGCATCAAAAGGGAACCAAAACATACAGCATATTTAAGAAACAAACACTAAAGAAAACATTAAAAAACATACTCAGTCCTGTCCCTTGACTCCATACTTCTGGCCAAGAGGATGCCAACAGACATGACACGAGCGCAGGCTTGAATGTGCTTGCATTTCTCCCCTGGTGCTCTTGTGCCCTGCGGAGGCCAGGGGAAGAACATGCCCAGGCTAGCCCGTTGGCCCCAGGAGGAGGATGAGACACACATGGAGCAGAGCCACCAGCCTAGATCAACTGACTCCCAGCTCATCCTACAGACTTGTCAGCTAAATATATACCTACTGACATATGCTGCTGAGACTTTTGTGGCTGGATAATAAAATGACTGCATGTTCACGTAACAAAAGACTATACACCAGCAATATGGATACATCTCACAAAGATATTCTTGAAGAACAGAAGCCAGACACTAAAAAGTACATAGCATATGTTTCCAATTACGTAAAGTTCAAAAACAGGAGAAATCCAACGGATGGTGTTAGACTCTTGAAGTAAGGGTAGTGACTGAAAGAAGCATAGAAAGTTCTGGGGTTCTAGGAATATTCCATTTCCTAATTTACATACTGGTTACACAGGTATGTTCATTTTGTGAAACTTAGCTGTACAGTTCTGATTTTTGTACTTTTTTGTACATGTTATATTTAAATAAAAAGTTTACACAGCACTTGTAAAAAGAAAGAAAGAAAGACTTACTGAGGTATGGAGACATGGAAGGGCAGTTGTCAAGGTTTGCGGTTGTCGTGGATGCTTCATTGGTCAGAGTTTGTTTCTTCTCCAAAACGAGAGGGTTGTTGAAATTAGCCATGAAATCCTTTGCTTTAGGAATCTCTTGAAGAGCAGCTACAAAGTAGTTGCTGGTGGCCCACCCAACCACCATCAGGCATAAGGTAAGAAGCAACAGTAACCGGAATTTGTAAGAAAGGTGGAAAGTCACGCTGCAGCCCATGTCTTTTATTACGTGAGCGACAGCTATCTCTCGGCCTCACTGTAGGCAGGAAGCTTCAAGTTACACTCTTCCAATCTGATTGCAAACTTGAAGATGACTGAAGATGCAATGCCTGCTTTTGTTCAGTGGTTCTGCTCCAACAAACTCTAAAAGGCAATCAAAAAGACACATTGTTTCAGAGGGAAACCATATCCTGCAACTATTCACTTCAGCACCAACTGGAAACCCGTGCCCAACGGATCTAGACTAACAGTAATGGGAGTTCTCCAAGTAGGGTTTAGAGATCAGAAAATCAGAGATCTTAGAGGGAGAAAGTTCCGACCATCTCTACATCACAGGAGTTCTCTCTGGGTTATCACCTAGGCTGTCTGTCACCCAGGAAGAAAAGCCATTTCCAGATGTTGCAGAGGAGGAGAAGGTAAAGAAGAGACTAGAGATGCCTCCTCAGTTCTGAGCTGGGCACAGCGTAAACACAGTCCTAATGGTTCTCTTCTGTGGATGCCCCTTCCTGGCACAGCTTTCAGAGAAGGTTAACAACACATGAAATCTTGTTACAGAGCATATTTCCACACAAAGAGAAAATAAGGGAAAGGACAAAAGCTCTTCTTCTTTGTAAGAGCTAGGAAAACATGTTCCTCTCCAACAGGGAATGAAAAATCAAGGATTTTTCAGTTATAAATGTTACAGTCACACCGAGGCAGGGCACAGGCACACCCCCACACGTGGGGGAGAGGGTAAGCAACACAAGAGAATTCCAGTACTGGAGCTCAACAATCTGTAAGAGTAGCAGGCAGAATACAGCACAGCGTTTAAGATCAGGGGTTTGGATTCAGACCGAAACTACAGCTCCACCACGTTATCAGCCATGAAACCTCAAGCCAGTCACTTAAGGGAGCCTTGGTGTCCGTCTCTGTAAAATGGGGATAATAGCAGTACCTGCAGAAAGAGCTTGTCGTGGGACTGGAGGACCTAACGTATTGGCAAAGTGTTAGCCTACCTCCTGATGCACCCGCCAAGTGGTGACCGTCATTGTTGTTATTGTTCTATCACTTCACATTAAGTGGCTCCAGACTAGGGATGGCCAACAGGCGGACACACTGGTAGGCTGCCAGAACCACCGCTCTATCGTCCCGTGTTTCTCACTGTCGGCTGATGAACGGCCACTCTGATTTCATACTTCAATAGCATGGGGTGGGGTAGTAGGAATTCACCTCCAAGAGGTGGCTATGCTCTTAGTTACTAAGAAAAATCCAGTTTCTGAGGCCACATAGCTGAGGACCCACCCTGGACCACGGTAAATGCACTAAAGTGATGAAGGCTACTTGGCAAGGCCCCCTGGGGCACAGTCAGCAATCCCGCCCACCCCCATCCTCGCCTCACTGCTAAAGCCAAGTCTCTCCTCCAATTCTCAATGTGTTATCAGAAGAGTGCAGAAAATGCCAGGGCAAGGAAAATCTCCACAGCCAAACACGTCCTCAACTAAAGGGGCAGAAGGGAGACCAGAATACTTTCTGTGCCAAGTAATAATGGAAACACGTATGATTAAATCTAAAGTAACAAAAAGAAAAACAAAATAAACTACGTAGGTACGTAGGTGTCTATGATTACCACTAAAACCACAGAAAAAAGAAAACTCTAGAAAGAAATATACCCCAAAACTAACAATAACTGTATTAGGAGTATGGGATTAACCAGGGGTGGTTTTTTTCTCTTTTCTTTTGTTTTTGGAATTTTGTAAGATATACCTCTGTTCTTTGCTAACGAAAAAATTGTTTTTTTAAATGAGACGTGAGGCTATCATAATTTACTGTCAAACAAAAACAAAACAATCCTAGCAGCTCTCAAGAGAGCCTCACACTTGCTGAAGGGTAACATTTCAAAAACGTAGCTCTAGGCTAGTCTGAGGGAAACCTGGAAAGCATTTCTCTCGAGACACAACATTATAAATGGAGGTTAGGTTCCTGGGCCAGGTCACAAAAGAGAAGATTTGACCCAGGAAGCAATTAAACAGTATGGCCTGCGTTTAGGATCCTGGGACGGTATTATGAGAAGTTGAGGCTGAAGGCAGTAATGACAGCTAATAAGAAGAGCGATTTATTTGTGCATCTACTCTGTGCCATGCACTGGGGTTAAATCACTTGTATTAACTTATTTAATTCTCATCTCGACCTTGTGAGGTAAGAATTATTAGTCTCCTCACTTTACAGAGGAGAAAATGAAAGTTGAGAGAGATTAAGCAGCTTGTCCAAGACCACACAAGTAAGAGGTCAGCTCCAAAGCCTGGGCTTCTGCCCCATCCTCTGCATGGACTGATCGGTCTTTCCTCCCCTTGGCACCTGCGGGCGCTCAAAGGAAACCCTTGAAATGGCAGAGCTCCCTTTGGGGGCCTTCCTCTTCTCTCCCACATCCTCCTGCCCCTTTCCTTGGAACTGTCTGTTCTCTTCCCTCCAGGTGACAGTAAGTCTTCAGGATCCTGGGGCCAATCAGACAACCTCTTATGGACTTACCTGCAGGAGGCCTCAATGATAGGACTAGCAATCGTTTTTGATAAAAGTCTCATTCTGAAAAATTCAGACTGGGAGCATTGCTTTTCTAAGAGCTGCCTTTGGAGGGGTAGTCCCCTGACAGGGAGACTCACCTGGCTGAAGGGACTTCTGAGAAATAGAAGTACTGCCGTGTTCGAAGCAAAAAGGACCGGAACGCATACACATCCGGCCCCCCGTTCTACAGAGGGAGGAAGTGTGGCGTAGGGAGCTTGTAAACCCTACCCAAGAATTAGCAAGCTGGTACTCACCACAGACTAACCCTGCTGAACATCAGCCCATGGAATTTGTCCGAAGAGAAGATATTTAATATAAAACCCAAGAGTCATTATGAATGACTGCTTAATAATTAGCCCTTCACTGCTATCCCCCGTTCTTAAGACTACATGGGATCCAGTTAGAAATAATCACTTCCTCCTTCCTCTAAGCCTTGGTGCTCCCCTCAAAGCTAACTGTACAGAGAGCCGGCATGAAGGCAGCCCAGGTGTGAAATCTCCTTGGTTCCAGCGAGTAAACATTGGAGGTGTGAAGGGTCTATAACACTCGTCCTACTGTTTCAAGAGAGCTCTCCTGCCCAGCCTGCTTATCGGTTATGTGACTGAAGGCAACCCCTCTCGACATGTTCCATTAGCTATAAAACAGTAAAATATATATATATTTATCTTACAACGTCACTCTAAGAACTTAATGAGATAATGGACCCAAATACACCGGGTACTATTCCCAGAAACATAATAAACATTTATTGACTGATTACCAACGTGATTCATGCACAAATTTTATCAGAATACTAACCAAGATAAGGTTATCTCTGGAATTGCACATTGAAATACAGATTATTGTTATTATCGATTTCTCTGTCACTTCCTACTTTTCATTCAATAAGTATATATTACTTTTGTAATTTAAAAAATAATGATTTTTTAATAAAGTTCTTTTTAGGGTAGGTTACTCCTGGCTGGGGTTTGGGAAAACGTCATCAGATTGGACTTATTTATAATAACATTGAAGTAACTGAGAGATTCTGAACTCTCCCTGAAGAAAAGTTTTCTTTTTCAATCACAGCTGTCTTGAAGTGACAGGAAATCATGACTGTAGAGGACAAATTCAGGTAATGTGAAGGAAGTTGCTTTAGGGCAAGACTCACCACCCTTTTCCCTTCTAGAAGTCTGTCCTAGAGTTAGTGCAAAATCATGATGTTTTCATAATTTTATTTTCCCTCCTCTCAATGCCACCAGTCTTTTCTGAGCACCTGCTATTTTCAGACATAGTGTTAGACCCTAAAGGGACATAAAGGGAATTAAAGTATAGTCCTGGCACTCAGAGTTTATTTCAGTCCTTTCCTAGATTTTAATGTCTGCAATTTGTTTTCAAATATACCAGCCTGCCTCCTCCAAAAGTGGGGTAAGAGATAAACAAGATTGGCAAAACATAGAGAAGTAGTGAAGCTGGGTGATCAGCACCTGAGGGTTGATTTTCTTTCTCTCTCTACTTTTGTGTACACTTGGAATTTTCCATAATAATAATTAAAAAAATATAGCATTGGAGACAAGCTATAACAGAAGGTAAATCAGCATGAATGCAAGTATCATTCTTGGAGAATCTCTACACATATACATTTTTGCATCACCACGTCGGGGTCGGGGGAGAACACCAGGTGTTACTCCATAATTATTTACTAAGCGCTAGACACCAGGGAGAAAGGGTGTGGTCTTCATTCAGCAGCCAAGAGCACCAAAATCAACATTCCAACATCTCTAAAGCCATCTGGTGATCTCGTACGGCATCTCACAGTGGGCATGATGTGGCCCCAGGCATGTGGTCCTACTCCCTTGGGCCTCCCTGGGGCAGCACCAGTAGAAAGGCTGGTATTTTGCTGCTCCTTTTACTCCTGCAGAGTTCCTGAGAGCTGACTGTTTGCACACATGTTGGCCTACCTTCCTTGGGCCTCTGGTATTCATTCTCCCAATTACAGCTCCTTTACCTGACTTCTAAGAGATCACTGCCCGGACTCTAAAGAACCAATGGTTCCCTGGGTGGGGGGCAAGGGTGGGACAGAAATGATGACAGCCACTTACATCTACAAGTCATTTAAACTCAAAGACTGAGCTCCTAGTGGCCAAAACTGGATGCATTTGAGCAAGAAAACAGTGATGGCATTGTATTTTAACCCAGTAAATAAAATGAATATCCATGAGTCCATACTGATATAAATGATCAAATAAATGGGAGAGAAAGGGCAGCTCTTTCTCAGAGTAAACATTCAATTAATAAGGAAGAAAGAGATGGAAAAAATTAGTGTTAGGCAAATATTACTGCAATAATTACTGCAGACAAGATCCATCAATGAGTGCTAACATTAGTGGGTGAAAATGTGAGGATAAACAGAGTTTATAGTCTCAAAGGTATATACCCCAAGATAATTATTAGCTACAAACGAAAAGACAGTAACTTTCTAGCGGAGAAACCCAGCAGATATTGCCTTAACAAAGTGATCAAGGTGCATATCACCAGTAGTAAGACCTATCCACCTCAAGAAGCAGTGATGCATTGCACTGAGAAGGACACAATGCCACTTCTGTGATTGGTGTTCCTGCCAAAGACGCATAACTTCATTACAGGCATGAGAAAACATCAGATAAATTCATTCTACAAAATAACTAATCAGTACTCTTCAAAGAGGTCAAAATAATGAAAGACAAGGAAAAGCTGAGGAACTATTTTGGACTAGAGGAGACCTAAGAAATAACTAAATGCAGTGTAGAATCTTGAATAGAATACAGGAACAGGAAAAAAAATCATTAGCAGGAAAACTGATGAAATTCCCATAAAGTCTGTGGTTTAGTTAATAGCACTGATAACTGAACCATGGTTATGTAAGGGGCCAACATCTGAGGAAGCTGAGTGAATTCTCTGTACCATTTTTGCAACTTTTCTCTAAGTCTAAAGTTAATTAAAAATTTAAATTTAAAAAGTTGGAGACTGAATAAAACCAAAGCCAACATATGGGAATAAAACTAACAATTCTCAAAAAGAATCACTGTTTTTTGTATTCCTAGTGCTTCAAACTGACCTGACATAGAAGGTGCTGAATTTGATAAATAATGAATGACTTTCTAGGACATACTAGTTGAAATACATAAGGTCACATCATAATCCCGGGATACTACCAAAAGGGATGAGATGGGGGAAAAAAGAAAGAAAAATAAAGATTAATAAAGACAGGAAAAAATTTAATGGGTATAAAATTCCATTTGGGGAAGAGATTAAAAATGGAAAAAGGCTCACCCCCGCCAGCTCCCTTTGCTTGATTAACATCAACACGTTCCTAACTGTAGGGGCCCCAACTCTAATCAACGGCATTTTCTCTTGGTCATGCCCACCCCATTCTGCCCCTCTTTCCTGACTCCAAGAGGAGCTGCTGTTTAGAGTGCCCCTTCCCCCCACCCCCACACCCACAGCACACTCTGGAGCAGGGTCCCTGCCTCTGGGCAAAAGGTGGTGCTATGTCACCCATCTTACAGCAAGAGCTGTCATGAAATCATCAGGAAACATGCAGTAAATTTCAATAGCAAAGGACAGGCATTGTTTTATATAGTCTATGTGACGCAGCATAACAGAACTCACAAGAATTTCTGATGGGGGATCTTAATGGAGGTTTGCTGTGTACTTACGTCATTTTCAGCTAGGCCAGGGAACCCTGCAGTAGGGTCAGTCGGGGTTCCCTTGCTGCAGTCATGAGGGGCACATCAATGAGAAGGTTTGACGAGGTCTGAGGTAACATAAAAAACAGGGGCTCTGAAGTCACCCACAGCTGAGTTCAAATCTCGTTACCAGATGTATGAATGGCTTTGGGCAAGTGACCTAAATTTCCGAGTGGGTTTTGCTATTTATTTAAAAAGCATTTTTCAAAGTGTGGTTCCAAGAGCACCAATATCAAACACAGATGGGCATCTGTTAAAGTTGCAGACTGGCCCTACTCCAGAGCTGACAGGTCAGAACGGCTGCGCCTGGGACTCAGGAAAATGAATTTTTAACAAGCTCCCCAGGTGACTCTTACACACATTAAAGTTTGAGAACCTCTGAAATAAGAGAGAGGACGTGGAATGCAACAGATCCTTCAGAAACCTTAATTTTCCTTCTGGTGAGGAAAAGCAATAAGAAGATATGTGAAAATGAGATTTTAAAAACGCATCTGAATGGCTTTTGATTCCATCATTTAGAATTTACTCTAAGGAAATAATCAGAGAGATCAATCATGATACTCAGACCAACATTACTGAAATAACCAAAAATTGAAAAAAATCAAAATGTTAACAATAGGGAGTTGATTTAATTAATTACAGTACCTCCATATGATGAACATATGCTTTCATTAAAATGGTATTTAAAAAACTTAACTACAGGGACCAGCCTGGTGGTGCAGCAGGCAAGTTCTCATGCTCCGCTTCAGCAGCCAGAGTTCACCAGTCCCGATACAGGGCGCAGACCTACCCGTCGCCTATCAAGCCATGCTGTGGGAGGTGTCCGACACATAAAGTAGAAGAAGATGGGCATGGATGTTAGCTCAGGGCCAGTCTTCCTCAGCAAAAAGAGGAGGATTGGTGGCAGATGTTAGCTCAGTGCTAATCTTCCTCAAAAAAACAAAAAAAACCCTTAACAACATACTCAACCATAAAAAAAGAATGAAATCTTGCCACTTGCAACAACATAGATGGACCTACAGGGTATTACACTAAGTGAAATAAGTCAGACAGAGAAAGACAGGTACCATATGATTCCACTTACATGTGGAATCTAAAAAACAAAACAAACGAGCAAACAAAGTAGAAACTGACTCATAGATACAGGAAACAAACTGGTGGTCACCAGAGTGGGGAGGGGTTGGGGGTTGGTCGGAATACGTGAAAGGGATTAAGAGGCACAATCTTCCACTTATAAAATTAATAAGTCATGAGGATGTCATGTACAGCGTACGGAATACAGTCAATAATACTGTAATAACTTTGTATGGTGACAGATGGTAACTAGACATATTGTAGTGATCATTTCCTAGTGGTACCCAAATATTGCATCACTATGATATACAACCTGAAGCTAATAGGATATTGTATGTAAATTATACTTCAAAAATAAACTTAAGTAGGGGATGGCCCGGTGGCTCAGCGGTTAAGTTCACACGTTCCGCTTCAGCAGCCCAGGGTTCGCTGGTTTGGATCCCAGGTGTGGACATGGCACCACTTGCAAACCATGCTGTGGCAGGCGTCCCAAATATAAAGTAGAGGAAGATGGGCACAGATGTTAGCTCAGGGCCAGTCTTCCTCAGCAAAAAGAGGAGGACTGGCAGCAGATGTTAGCTCAGGGCTAATCTTTCTCAAAAAATAAAAATAAAAAAAATAAATAGATAGATAACTATATGAGAAAGTGCTCACGATAGCTAAGTGAAAAAAACCCAGAATATAAAAATGTACGTAGAATACAATCCCAATTGTGCTATACATCTGTGGTGTGAATGTCTTTCACATATAAAATGCCACAAAGAATCACCAGTGGTTGTCTCCTAATTATAGGATTAGTGACATTTCATTTCTTTGGTATCTTCTAACTTTTCTAAAACGGGGCTTTTATGATCAGAAACAATGTCATTTCCTTTAAAATATATTAAAATTTAGAGTGGACACAATAAACAGGGATTATAACTTTTGATTACAGAAGCCTGGCAACAATTCATTGATATAACCTCTAAGGAATCTATTCTAAGGAGGCCCCAACGAGCCCAAATCTCAAAGAAAACCCTCAGAGGTGGTCAACGACATTCAACACCGAGAATCCTGTGGTCTCTATTTGAAATTCCTATTCCAGGCTCCACCCTCAGAGATTTTTATTTCAAAGGCCCAAGGTGAGGCCAAGGAATCCATATTTTCAACAGGAACGGAGGTGGGTTTGAGAAACCATTGTTCATTGATGGCTTTAAAAAAAAAAAAGGAAAACCCCCACTGCCTTGGGTTGGATGTTCCCACTAAGAATAAAAGATCTTCAAAGAGAGAGTTCTCAAATCATTTGCACACATCTCTGGGGAAAAAAACACATTATCATTAGCTCAGTTTAAGACAGATAGTAAATACCTATCCTAACAAGTGGCATATAAAATATAATAACAGCTAGTTTTATCACACTCCCCGCCAAGATAATATAGTCAAACAGTTGAGTGCTTCTCTTTCACAGATGTTTTGAATCTCATCAAAGCACAGATCTTCTCTCTCAAAAATGCATACAGACGGGTACATGAAAATCTTTGCAATTTCATTGGGCTTAAAGGCCAGCCCTGTTCTAGAAGATAAAATTCCTAAAAGATAAACTATGGGCCAATCATTATCTCCTTACCCTAGAGACACATTCCAGCACTCCCACTCAGCCCAGGTGGCTAGGATAGCCCTCCACTCCACTTTTTAGGCCCAATTTCCCAGCCTGGACCCTGAATCCTATTCATCCCTATCCAAGATTCCTTGACTTTCTTGCATCCCCACTACGTTACTGTCCTTTCTCTAAAAAATTCAGGAATTAAAAAATAAAAACAACAAGCCTCTCCTCAACCCTCAAATTTCTATCTTCTTCCTCCTCCTTTTCATCACCAAACGGCTAGAGAGGTCGCCCTGTGCCCCGGCCGGCTCCCCGTCCACAGCCCTCACCCACCCTTGAACACTGTGCAACCTGGCGCACGCCCACTGCTCCCAAGGCTACCACCCCAAGGCCTTTTCTCAGTCCCAATCCTCCTGGACTTTTCTATCTTTTTCAAACTAGAGTTACGCCTCACCTAATGCAAGACCGAACACCGACAGACAACGATCGACAGATACCGGTTGGATGAGGAGCGGGACTACGGGTAGGTGTCTCTGAAATACCTTAAAAGCCAGGTGACTTTCACCATTCGTCGGCCCCTGCAGGGCCCAGCTGAGCGGTTTCCTAGTAGAAACCCTGTGGAAAGAGGGCTCCAAGGCAGAAGGGCTTTTTCACGTTGACGCGCCCGCGCGGAGAGCGCTGCTGGGGGGCGACCCCAACGCCGTGAGCGAGGCCTCGGGGGCGACCCCTGCAGCCCTGCCTACCTGGCCGCATCTCGCCCGGTTCCCCCGCCGGCGGCAGCGGGAGCGCCGCGGTGTTGCCCGCACCGAAGCCGTACGGTCCCTCCCTCCGGGCTCGGCCTCCGCAGGCCCCGCTCGCCCCGCCGCTCGAGCTGCGCCGCCCCGCGCGCGCTCGGCCCCGGCCCGGGCCCCGCCCCGGCCCGCCGCCCGGCGAGGTCCCCCCGGCGCCCGCCGCCGCCCCCCGCACGGACTCGGCGGCCCCAGGGCCCGGCGCACTCACCCGACGCGGCCGCGGCGAGGCGAGCAGCGCAGGGAGAAGGGGACACCCCTCCCGCCGCCCGGAGGAGGCTCCCGAGGGCCGGCCCCGCCCGCCCGCCCCGCGAGTGGCCGCGGCCGCGCGCCGGGGGCGGGTCTGCGCGTTCTCGCAAGCCTGGCGCTCCGCCCCCGCCCGGACGGACCCCTTACCCCGCCGGCGCTGGGAGGAGCCCGGAGAGGGAAGGACGGCTTACCCTCTAGGAGGTCCGCAAAGCCTTGTGCCAATACTGCGCCGGGTGCCGCGCGTCCCCCAAATCCCGCCCTCGTAAATGCTCACAAAAAGTTGAGAACAAGATACGAACCTTCCCATTTTATGGAGGAGGAAACTGAGGCTTTAGAGGTCACTAATCTTACCTTATATCCCCCTGACAGGTTTCAGCTTTCTCAGCTGCATAAGTACCAGATTAACTGGCTTTCCCATTTCTTAGGACTATTGAGAATATGAACTGAATAAATTGTGAGAAATCCTAATTTCTTCAAACATATTATTACAAAGCAATGGGAACCCGCTCTGTAGGACGGACCCCCTATTTAGTCCCATAGGATTCAAACAAATAGAAATTCACAATTTCAAAAGAAAATCACCAAGCACGGGAGGCCGCACAGAAATGACAGCAAAACTAACACCAACAGATTTAGATCCCCAAAAATATCAGATATTGGAATTGTCTGACACAGAATACGGAAGAGCTCGTTTTGAAATTTTTAAAGAAAAAAAAAGATGTCCCTAGAGGTTACTTACCAATTACAAAGGAGCTAGAGTACCTTTCGGTTGGAGAAGTCTGACAGATACCGCCTTAACCAAGTACTCAAAGTTAATTTCACCAGTAACACAAATTGATGTCGCACATGCGGTGATGCTCTGAGGACACGAGCTCACCTTTATGGTGTTCCTGCCAAAAAGACATAAAATCTTGAGGAAACACACAAACACAAATTAAGGGATGTTCTACAAAACAACTGGCCTGAGCACTTCAAAAATTTCAATGTCATGAAACACAAGGAAAGATAAGAAACTATTTCAGATTAAAGGAGACTAAGGAGATTTGACACCTAAATTCCTGGATTGGGAAAAAAATTACTACAAAGTGTATTATTGAGTAAATCGGAAATGAATTTGTACAGTGTGGTAGATTAAAAAAATAGCCTCAAATTCTTTGACCTTCCTCTCACTGAGAAATGGGGATATATTTCCCTTTCCTGGAAATTAGGGCTGGCCTGTGACTGCTTTGACAAATGGAGTAGAGTGGAAGGGAAGCTATGCCAATTCTGAGCCCAGCCTTTAACAGGCAGTTTCTGCTTCCCCTTCTGCTCTGCCATAACAAAATACCACAGAGTGGATGGCTTAAACAACAGAGCAGAGCATCTAAAAAACAACCAGACAAAATATATAAAATGAAAGTTTCCAAGATACTTCATATTGGGTAACAAAGGTCAGTGATCTCTGAGAGGAAACAAACAAGGTGAGTCCTACAACTGCCTCAGTTTACCACCTTGAGAGAGTCTACAAGCCACGGCAGGGGGAGGGAAAACTGAGACAGAGCCTGGCAGTCTCCCTGAATTGAAGAGGCAGACCCTACGGGTCAGGGGCACTAAAGCAGCTAGAGTTCACAGGACAGAATAACAGAGAAAAGACAGATGCACCAAGAGAGAATACTTGAGATCTACAGAAAATCCTCCTCAAGTATTCCTGATCAGTTCATGCATGTAAGGAAGGTGTCCTGGCCAGAGAAAGAACCATCTGTAAGGATTAGAGGGAACAGTTCCTGTCACTTATTCTGGACTGTGTCTCCCAGAATTGGTTCAAGAAGATTTATAGAGCTTAAAAAATATCTAGCACCCAGTAAGGTAAAATTCACTATGTCTGGCATCCAAACAAAGATTACCAGATACGCAAAGAGGCAGGAAAACACAACTGATAGGGAGAAGAATAATGAGTCAAAAGTGGCCCAGAACTGGCATAGATGTTAGAATTAACAGAGGAGAACATCAAGACAGCTATTATAACTATAGGCCATATATTCAAAAGGTTAGGGGCCAGCCTGGTGGCATAGTGGTTAAGTTCACACACTCCACTTCAGCAGCCCAGGCTTCACCAGTTTGGATCCTTGGTGTAGACCTACACACC